AATCACATAATCATCGTCGTCAAAACTGTCCGCGACCGAGCCCACAAACGAACCCCCAAACGCCGCAGTGCTTGCAAACTCGCCAACAGCCAATAAGTCCGAGACCGAGCCCAGAGACTCACTGTCACTCCACGACGTCGACGACATCTGCCGGCTTGCACGGAGGCCTACTACGACTTAGACTAGAGACAGAGCAGGTCGTCGGGATCACTGCTTTCATCGAGCACACTTCAATTGTCCAAAGATTAAAACATTAACAGTGACTAATGCATCACTATACAGTACATTAATCAATGATATGTAACATTGTGTTACTACTGTTACATCAGTATGAATGAATCACTTGATTCCCTGGCCGGCAGACAGATGTCGATCATGTATGGTGCAAGGCAACTCACTGACAGACTATGCAGGCAGGCAGGCAGGCAGCCAGCCTCGGAGACAGCAGGGTCCTGAGGACATCACTGCCACCCGGCACTGTGTAGTCAGCATGTCATGCTGGGTAACCGTTTTGAATCCAACTTGCGCACACTACCGCTGAGGTCTCAAATCGGACAGTCTAGCTCTGCTGGCGAGATCGTCGAATTCAAAATCCTCTAAACACACGCAAACCCGGCACTCTGCCTTCCCCAACATCCGTAATACGGTCTCGGAGGCTGTACAAACACGACAAATCATTGAAGCAGTAACGCCAGAAATTCGTCTGACACATTGTAATATAAAATTCCTGGCACTCTGCCTTGCCGAAAATCCCGCCGAAGTCTCGGAAAGAGTGTGAACATGATCTGCTCATTGACAGACCAGGCTACTTGCAAGACTTGCCCACGCTCTTGAGAATTCAGAAACATCCAGAATGTCGTAAAGCACTCCTCTAGCATCGTGTCGAACGGAATCACAGAATCATCGTCGTCAAAACTGTCCGCGACCGAGCCCGCAGTGCTTGCACCCTCATCGTCAACCAGAACCCAGTCCGAGCCCACAGACTCACTGTCACTCCACGACGTGGACGACATCTGCCGGCTTGCAGGGGGGCCTACTACGACTTAGACTTGAGACAGAGCAGCTGTAACACGACTATAGTAGATTACGCAGGGCAACAGCGAGCACAACTGCTGCAGCGGCAAGTTGCGATACATGACACGCTCACTGACTATGCAAGGCAGCTTGTCCTCTGCGATGGCAGCATGTCCTCAGGATCCTCGTCATGAGCCTCGGTGCCAGGACTGTACCATAATAATGGAAGTAGCTGAAGCAAGCTGATGCTGAGATCCCAGCAGTTGGCATCCACTTCTCGATGGGCTGGAAGCCGATGAAGACCGATGGGAGAGAAGGAAATGGAAGAGAAGGCGTTCACTAGGCTTGGATTCAAACCGAACACTTAGACCTGGCCAACGGTGTGGGGAGCAACCCCGATGGGGCAGGGACTTAAGTAAGGCAACCTCGAGAGGCTCGACTGGCACTCTGCCTCTGTCGATCCAAGTCGCAAGGCTCCCTAACTAACGTGACAAGCATGGATGGCCTCCCCTCCTGGTTGGGAGAAAAATAAAAAAGCCACAACCACTGGACCACCCCACCCGGCACTTTAGCCCATGTGCCCGGGTGTCATATGCCACTGCCCTGGCACGTTGGCCCCAAGGCGGTCCAGGTACCATCGACAACACCTGACACCCGGCCAACGGTGTCCACGAACCGAGATGGGCAGTCGATCCGTGTGGGTAAGGTGGCACTCTGCCTCTGTCGATCCAAGTCGCAAGGCTCCCTAACAAAACGTAACGACAAGCATGGATGGCCTCCCCTTCAAGGCTGTAAGCACGGCTGCGAACAACCCCTCAACCGCCCCACCCGGCACTTTAGCCCATTTGTCCGGGTGTCATATGCCACTGCCCTGGCACGTTGGCCCCAAGGCGGTCTAGATACAATCGCCTCATAACCTGACACCCGGCCAACGGTGCCCACGAACCGAGAAGGGCAGTCGATCCGTGTGGGTAAGGGCAAGATCTCAAGGCAAGTCAACATGTCACTACGGCCTCCCTTCTTTGTTCAATCACAACCCAAAACTATTTAAAAAGATTAAATTTTAAAAATTATTAACTTCAACAACAAATAAACAACAATTTTGTAGACATACAGCAGCAGGAAACCAGGTAGAACAACAGGAAGCCAATTGACTCACTCAGAAACAAAATTCACAAACATGTATTTTTTACACCAAAAATAAAATAAAAGAATTTTAACAACTGTAAAACACAAAAAAACCTATTTAAAAAACTTTTAAATACAAAACAATACTTTTAAATACAAAAAAACACTTTTAAACACAAATAAAGCCAACCACATACAAAAATGAGATTTTGGGTTCCTTTCATATAAGCCTTGTTGATCTAAACCCTGTGGTTCTGGTTCGGCGCAAAGGGTTAAGGATAGTAGATACTTAAGCCTTAAAGGGTGCCTATATACGTACTGTAAGGCCTAAGTATATACTATACGGGTACATGGAGCCGAAGGGCTTGGCACTGTAGATGGGCGGCGTGTCCACTTCTGAGTCGTCTGCGCTGCGCATGCATCAGTCTTCATTCCCTCAAACTCGTGCTTGGAGGGTCGCACGACTTAGGTTAGTTGTATGTTGCGAGCAGGATGTAGTATATAGAGAAGCTGTCACGACTTAGTATAAGTAGGCAGTACGTAGCTGTATAATTACCGTATAAAGGGGATCCTAATTGCCGCTAAAGTCTGTAACGTAACTATACTATGTCCCTCGACCCTCCAAGTGGCGGTCACCCAGTCCGGCAAATAGCACGGTCGAATTTGACAGTTTCCCCGCCTAGTGTCACAGCGCACACGGAGCTGCATGCCGACGACTGCCAATACCACGAGTGCAAACTACCTGATGTTTAGCTTGCTGTGGACCAACCTCTTCTTTCCCTGTGGCACCTCAGCTCCTTTGCACAGTCCATGCTGTTCCAGGTGGGAGGAAGCACAGGATGTGACCCCACGAAGGGGCCACTTCATCGGAGCGCTCTGAAGGAATCTCCAAGTGAACAGAACAGGCATCGGTGTAAAAAGCTCTTGTGCCGAGGCCCACCCAAACCCACCGAAATTGGCTGTGCCGCAGGCCTTAAACCCTAAACCCCAGAACCCCTACACACTAAACCTGAATTCGAACCAGGCGCGCGGCGGAACTGTGAGTTCTACAACACAGCAGATGCACGCATGGTACTGAAGCATGCTGTAGGTGGTTAAACTGGTCGAACTACGTAACCGAACCGGAATCAGTAGTGCTGGAACGGTCTCGCATGAAAGCAGACAGCATAGTGTGCGTGACAACCTGCATCCATCCTCAAGGTGGCATTCCAAGTTGTCATTGTTGTATCCTTCTTGGAGGATCATGGGACTTGGTAAGTATGGTAATATGTAACTTTGCGCTATAAGTAGTCGTAATGGTGGTTATCGTATTCGTTACGAACACCTATGATCCGTTTAAGTATCAGTTGCTGATAACCCTAACAAGCACGAAAGGGTTTCTAAACCAGCATGTTTCCGCAACTCTGCGACTCTAAACCCTATCCCCAAAAGCCTAAACTCATAAACCTCCAAAGCCTACAGCCCCAAACCCCTAAAGCCCCAAAGTCCTAAAGCTCTAAAGACCTGAAGCCTAAACTCTAAAGTCCTGAACCCCAAACCCCTAAACCCTAAACCCTAAACCCCTAACCCCTAAACCCCTAAACCCTCCTAAAGCCCTAGACCCGAAGCCCCTAAAGCCCAAAACCTTAGCAAAGGTCAGCCTGCCAGCCATTGACGAGAGGGAGGCGGCTGAGGTGCTTAGGGCCGTGGAGGGTGTGTACATGGTTCCTGGTATTGATTTTTTAGTGGGAATTCAAGTTTTCAACAGGTTTCTGGTAGATTTGTTTGTTTTTGTTGTGTTTAGGGCTCTTGGGATTTTGAGGTTTTGGGGTTTGGGATTCTGGGGTTTAGGTTTTAGGGGTTTAAGGTGGTTGAAGTTTTATTATGGGTTTGGGATTCGGGTTTCAGGGTTGAGGGGTTTGGGCTTCAGGGTTCCTCTACGGGCCCGATACACGTCCTTTTACTACTTCGGGCTTTGTACGCTCTACACAATCGAGGGTCTATGGGCTTTAGGTCTCAAGCTTCAGGGTTTCGGTTTTCGGGTTTGAGGCATTGGCTTAAGGTGTTACTGGCCAATTCAAGGTTTGAGAATTCAGGGTTTGAGGTTACGGGCTTAGCTCTAGAGCAATCCCCATCAGCCTCGTTTTCGCAGGCATTTATGGACTCGTCTGCTCACTTGTGGTAATTACCCGCCGTTATTCTTTCAATCCGAGGTTATGGTCCGCGTCATAAATATCCCCGTCCGAGTGCCTTCGTTGTGCCAGCAATGTCGGTTGAACACCAGGGAGTATGAGATCAGCAGAAGTGGTTTGCATGGCTTGGACCGTCGCCGCGATGAACATAGCAGATGCAGCAGGGTCGTCATAAAGGACTTGACCCCAATGGTTGATGTTTTCATATCAGTTACTGCCACTCTTTACATCACTGCGATCACAACAAGCTCCTAGCAGTTTTCATAAGCTTCATGGCCGTCTCTCGTAATCATTCGCGGTTCATACTAGAATAAGATGAAAGGCATGGTTAACAACCTGATATTTCTAGTCATCGACGGCACCCGTCAGTGAACAGCGAAAAGCGAAAGGTGCAAGGTTGATAGCAGCAATGTCCTCCAAGTCTAAAAGGTAGTTTATTATTTGGGGCGAAGGTAAGGTAAACCCTAAACCCCACTAAAGCCCGAGTTTGCTATGTGGGGCTAAAGGCTAAGGCTAAGGTAAGCCCTAAGCCCAACTAAAACCCTACCTAAGCCCTAAACCCTAAAGCCAAGAATCGAAACCCTATAAACCCTAACCCGCAGACCCTGAGCCCTAAACCACTAAACCCCTAAACCCTAAGCCCGAAACCCTAAACCCTGAGCCCTGAACCCTAACAGCCAAGATGAGGCCTTCGTGTCTCAGCTCGTACGGAGAGGTCAGGATCGACTATTGGGTCCCTTGTCGCAGGAGGAGGCTCGACTGGGTCTTCCGACTTAGGCGTTGGGGGGTTTCGGGTTTAGGGTTGAATGCATAGACTCGGTGTTAGGGGTTTAGGATTTAGGGTTGAGGAGGCTCGACTGGGTCTTCCGACTTATCGGGTTTTGGGGTTTGGGCTTTTGGGGTTTAAGGGTTTCGGGGTTTTGGGGTTTGAAGTTTATTGGGGATTAGGGTTCAGGGTTTGTTGTGCAACATCGCATAAGCGACCGTATCTTGTGGCTGCGGTTTGGAGTGCAACGTAGTATGGCAATTGGCACCTAAACCCTAAACCCTAAACCTTAACGGGCTTTTCGTCTTTTTGTCCCACCCACGCCGCTTGAGGCGGCCAAACCAAAAGCCTGAGCAGGATATATGAAGGAATAGGGTTTAGGGTTTAGGGTTTAGGGTTTAGGACAATAAACCCTTAGTTAACCACTAAGCCCCAACACCCTAAACCCAGCCCCTACACCCTTGACCGGAAAGCCCCAAACCATACCTAAACCCACTTTGTCAGGGTTGCTCCTCTCGTAAGGCCTTTGGTCTTCTTATAGGTGTGTGTATCCTTTATCCCTAAACCTAAAACCCCAAACTCCTAAACCCTAAACCTCCACACCCTAAACCTTGAGCTCTGAAACCCTGAAACCCTAACCCTCCCCCCAAAAGAAACAGTTGTAACTTCTGTCTTCGTGCCCAGACCTTCCAAAACCCCTTAATTAAGCAATACACCTTAAATTATAGTAGGATCCCTAATATGATTTAAGGTATATTCCTTAATTAAGGGATTTTGGAAGGTCTGGGAACTTCTGTCTTCGTGCACAGGCCCTCAAGCGCCTGCAGGGTGAGAAGCTCCTCCGTGGCTGTGACCAGTTGACCAAGGACAGGGGTTTAGGGTTTAGGGGTTTAGGGGTTTAGGGTTTAGGGGTTTAGGGTTTAGGGGTTTAGGCTTTAGTTGACGAAGGACAGGACAGGGGTTTAGGGTCGATTTAGGCTTTCACCCAAGGGTCCAAAAGACCCAATAATGAGGTACTCGGCTTTAGGATAGCAGTTACGTAGGTTTATAGGATTTGGGAATTTGGGAGAGTGTATGGTTCTTGGATACTTGGACCCTTTGGCTTTCGGTTTTTGGGGGATTCAAAGCTTTGGGGAGATTATGCACGAACAGAGAACAAAGGATGCAGCAAGGGTCCATGAGGGCTTATCACCGTCCTACGATCCCATAGTCAGAAACCCTGTGAAATACAAGGTCTATTCCTGAGTTTTGGGCTGTTGCGCTCTCTGACTTTGGAGAGGTTCCTCATTTCGTCGATTGTTTCATCCGTTTTTCAACTGGAACCTACAGGTTCTTGAAGCGTTGCTTGTCGTATCATTCGAGTGCTCTGAGCCGGGCGCTACTGATGTAAGACCTCCACAAGTTCATACATAGTACAACCCCAACGCCCAGTCGAATAACTGAAGCACTTGGGCGAACCCCAAACCCCAAGCCGTAGACCCTGAAACCCTACACCGCGACTCGGCCGAGCTAAGAAGCGCAGGCTGGTATCGCGAAAGGCTTACCTAAACTTTATATAACCTACCTTTTCAAGGTTGCGTAATCAGATTTGCTGAGTTCCTCCTTTTAAGCCCATCTACCTAGACCCCCAAACTACCCTCAATTTTGCTTCAAAGACCCACTATTCAGGACCATAAGGGCTCCATTAAAGGGCCATTTGGGGGGTCCTAGTATGGTAGGGTTTTGTTGGGTAACGCAGAGATCCCAATATCCCTTAGTATTATGGTTTAAGGTATAATCCTTAGAAGGGGCCCCCATTCTGTAATAGTGGGATAATATATATATATATATATATATATAATTGGGCCCAAATATAATCCTTATAGTCACTATTACAGGGTGGGGGCAGCTTTAATATAATCCTTAATTCAGGGGTATTCCCTAAGGCTCCATGTACCCATATAGTATATACTTAGGCCTGAAAGTACCTACATAGGGACCCCTTTCAGGCCTAAGTAGCTACTATGAAGGTACATGGAGCCTTTGGGATTGGTATCTGGGAAGGTAAGGCTCCCGATCCGAACCTTCATGCGCTACCCAGAGACTCCAATACCCCATAAGGAATATACCTTAAATTATAGTAGGATCCCTAATATGATTTAAGGTAGATTCCTCAATTAAGGGATATTGGAGTCTCTGGGTAGTATGTTTTGTCTGAAGCGCAAGACCCCTTTAGTCCTAGTGCAACCCTACCTAGAGCAACCGGTGTACCTAGAAAAGAGGATATCCCGTAGTCCTTGTGCAACACTATCTAGAGAAATCAGTGTACCTAGGAAAGAGGATATGGCCCTAAACACATGGCACATGTTCCGTCATTTTCCTGTTTGGAGATACCTAGGTTACTCTAGGTGAACCTTAGACCCTGAAACCTAAACCGTTTGAGCTTGGGCTCGGGGCTCAGAGCAGCATCTTATCACTAAGGGTCCATGTGCCCCAAGTAGTATATACTTCGGCCCCAAAGTATCTACATATCGCCGAAGTATATATCATTTGTGTACATGGACCCTTGGGGTTTTGAGATCCGAGCATTCCGTGATGGTCAGCCTCCAGATTGCCAGACTCCCGATCCGAAACTCCTCATAGTCAACCCTGAAGCATAATATACAGGGGCCTTAATAATTTGACTGGGGTTCCGAAGAGGGTGTCTATAAGGGTTACTATAAGGGATACTATAAGGGTACCATAGTATAGAGCCTTCATAATTAGAATAGGGTTTTGGGGCTCATTATGCTATATTCATAATAAGAGCCCCCAAAGTAGTGTTGGTAAATATTTAGGCCCCTACATTACGCTTGTAATTCTGCCTAGCCAATGCCGCGAATCAGAAGAGACGAAGAGCCACTGACTGCCTCTGTTCAGGGATCCAAAAAGCACATGAGCATAAGCATTTTATAGGTATATCCCTACCTTATTGGGCTTGGCTTCATTATAAGGGGGTTTATATGGGATGTCCCTATCCTGATTTTTCCTTATGTGCTTTTTTGCGGCCCTACCTGTGCTGGAGGTTCTCCAGAAGGTGGATGAAGTCACCGTGGCGGACCAACCTCTCTTTTCGCAGGACTTCTTCTTCCTTCGTCTTCCGGCATCATGCTGTCTTATTCCCAGACCTTCCAAAATCCCTTAATTAAGGAATATACCTTAAATCATATTAGGGATCCTACCATAACTTAAGGTATATCCCTTAATTAAGGGGTTTTGGAAGGTCTGGGTTCCGGTGTTGGGATTCCGCTGTTGGGCCTTAGAGTTCGGTCGTTCTTACGAGTAGGTTTTCCATGCACAGAGCGCAGGGCTTCTTACAGCGTTGGGCGAGTTGGCGACTTGCTGTTGACAACCGGGTCGCAAGTTTTAGTTGTTTAGCCGAGTTTAGCCAATCGTTGCAGCAGTTGTCCTGTTTTTATTAAGCCCTAAGCCCTAAACCGTTTGCGGTCTTTGTGGGGGGTCAATCCATTGCACGTGCTAAACGCAATGTCAAGCTTCCTCGGTAGGCATGCCCCAAGTCCGCAATATATACGAGGACTCATCAGAGCACTCCGTGAGAACGACCCCATTGCGATGAAGGTGCAAGTCTGCTGAAGTTTCAATGCATCAGATCTTGGAAGACGCCGGTCTTTTGCACAAGGAAGTAATAGCAAGTTATTTAAACACCAACAATTCAACTGAGGTTCCAGGCAATAGCGAATCCTAAATTCCTAAACGCTGAGCCCATAAACCAAGCTTAATCCCTAATCTGTGAGATTCTCAACCGCCAAAACCGAAAATCCACAGCCCCCAACACCATGAAACCCGTATAAAAGCGGCCATCAGATCAAGGGGGAAAAGGAGGGACCCTTAATAAGGACCCCTACCCTATAATGGGCTATATAATGGGTATATAATAGCTATATAAAGGGTATATACCTAGGGGTCCTTATAAAGGGTCCCTCCTTTGACCCTTGGATCAGAGGATCCTCGAAATACCTTAAGTCATATGAAGGATCCTACTATAATTTCAAGTATATTCGAAAATTAAGGGATTTTGGAAGCTTTAAAGGCATCCGGGTTACTGTACGGTTCATTAATTTCTACTTATGAGATCATGGGACATAGTAACTAGGGTTATAATTAGGGTAACTATACTTCTAACCCCAATTAAGGTACTTATACCCTTACTTACTACGTCCCATGATCCTCCAAGTAGGGCTGCTAGAAGCTTCGGAAGAGGGGTGCGGAAGTGGCCACTCACTGAGAAGGTTATGGTTTAGGGCTTGGGGTTTGAGGTTCAGGGCCTCCGGCTACAGCTTGTTGTTGCAAGTGCTGCTGCCATACGTAGTCTTATTGTCATGTCGTCAGTCAGGGTTGAGGGTTTGAGCTTTCGGCTTTAGGGTTTAGGGTTTAGGGGTTGGGTTTCGCCGGTTTGGGGGGTAGGGGTTCCACCTTCCGCAGCCACCACGGCACAAGTACACGTCCAACAACTTCCTTCACTTGGGGCCGCGGCGCCAGGACTTGGGTGAAACCCGTAGGGTTCCTTTAAAGGGATCTATGAAAATGACTACAAGGGCTACTATAAGGGTTTAGTACAGAAGCCTTAATAACTAGAATAGGGTCTGGGGGCATCCTTTAAAGAGGTTACTATAAGGGCTGGCTGCTAGAAGGGTTCAGTATAAGGCCTTAATCATTAGAATAGGGTTTTGGGGGTATAGAGTTCGGAACCCGCAGCCCAGAAGTTTCATCGCAGCCGAAGCCCTAAATCAGCGTTTAGGGCTTAGGGGGGTTTGCACATGTACCTTCGCAGTAGATGCTTAAGCCTTAAAGTGCTCCTTGCATAGGTACTATAATAAGGCCTAAGTATATACTATATGGGTACATGGAGCTGTAGGGAGTGTTACAGCTTGTGTTGTTGAAGCCGGACACTTGTTGGACCACTTGCATCCGAGAGTCGGAAGGATTACTGTTACAAGAGTGGGAACCCTAAGGGTTCATGTACCCAAATAGTATATACTTTGGCCCCAAATGTACCCTTGTAGGGATTACTTTAAGGCCGAAATATATACGATTTGGGTACATGGACCCTTAGGGAAGAAGCCCAGCAGCATGATTCCGCCTTCTGACGGGGATTCGGCAGGGGTCCAAAGAACCCAAGAATTACATGCTCGGTTTAAGGATAGTAGTTATTAGAGGCTAGGATGTTGGTGAGTTTTTGATTATTAGGTACTTGGACCCTTGCGGATTCGGCAGGCTTGCTTAGGAATTGCCTACTCCAAGTAAATGCGGTAACAGGCTCCGAGCCTGCTCCAGCTCAGGGTCGAGGTAGGATAAGCAGTACGATTATGTTATAGTTGGCTTATATGTTTGTGTGCATATATGTGTATATACATATATATATATATATGTTTATATTGCTCTTTATTGCGTCATCTAATTCCGAATTTTTCGTATTTATTTAATCTGATTCCATATATCTTGATCTGTAAATTAGCGGCGTGTCTTAAGTCAACCTTGCCTTCCATCTTTCTTGCCGCAGGACGAGATTGGCAGGCATGTTGCCTGGCTGAAATTCCCACAGGCTCCTAATGTGCTTAGTTGAAGCATCTTCTTTGGGATCTAGTTGTGTGGATCCTTTAGCCACAACTTTAGTATTTAGCCTCTACGTGGACCCACTTTCGCCGGAAATGCAGGATTCGTAAACCCCGTGGTCATCGCCCTGCTCACCCCACTCCCCTGCCTGGGGCCTGAAGCTTGCGAGTTCAGTTCCAGTTCCTAAGCGCTTCCATTGCGTGTGGGGTTGGAATGCTTTAGGCTAGGGGTGGGGTTTCAGGATTAGGGGTTTAGGGTTTAGGAAACCCCCTAACCTTCAGCTCTAAATGCAGTTTCAATCCCTGAAACCCTAATTAATGCCTTAATGATAAAAAGCGCCCCGTCCGTACTCGGGATTTTGATTGGATCCGAACGTTGAAGCCCTTTAAGATAGGGGTGTTTGCATCTTAGGTTTACATACGCCCGAAAGCCCGAACCCTCAACCATTATAAACCTTAGCCAACCTATCATCCCCAATGAAACCCTTGCAAACCCTGCACTCACCCTCCAGCAGAGCTCTCGGAAACTCAACCTCCTGAATTTTCAATCCTGAAGCCTAAAACCCTAAAACCCAAACTCTAAAACTGGCAACCCTCAAATCTAAACTCTTAACAAGCCCCACAAGAGCCACGCTGTTAAGGCTACGCATCGTTTGGGGCATCGAGCGAAGCATTACTGGCTTCTCTGAGGAGGAGGCGTGGGCCTAAGTAGGACTTGGATGAGAGGTTTAGGGTTAAGGGGTTCAGGGTTTCGGGTTTAGGGTCTAATTAGGGTCTGGGGGTTTAGGGTTTAGGGGTGTTGCGTTGAGGGTTTGAATTGGTGTTTAGGGTTTCGAGTTTACGTGTTACTAACTCTTAGGGTTTCACAAGGGTTTGGGGTTTGGGGATGTATTCGGATCGTATTTCCTTAAGTTGTAGGGTTTTAGGGGGTTTAGGATTGTCGCTCTTCGCAGTTTAGGCTGGTTTTCCCCAGTTCGGTTTCAGGTTGGGGGTTTTATAGGCTTTAGGGTTTAGGGGTTTAGGGGTGTAGGGTTTAGGGATTTACGATCTTCGCAGGTGTAGTTTTGAGTTTAGGGTCTAGGGTTTAGAGTTTAGAGTTTGGGGGTTTAGGGTTTAGGGTTTTAGGGGCTTACTAGGGCTCAGGCTTTAGGGGATCTTTAGGGTTTACCTAGAAGCTCATAGTCTACCCCCTTTTCAGGGTACTTACTTTTCTATATAACAGATCCTATCTAAATAACTAGGTACCCTGAAAAATAGGTACTCTACCCCTTTTTGGGGGCATCTATTTTTCTAGAACAGATCCTACCTAAATAACTAGGTACCCTGAAAAAGAGGTAGGGTATGAGCCTCTAGTGAACCCCAGAAAGTTGGAATAGTGCTGGAGCCCTAGTACTAGTATGATGTCTTTATATAAGTCCCTAAAAAGGTGGGTTATTTTAGGGTTAAGGTATACAATACTCTTCAGGATTGGGGCTATTGGGTTTCCAACTTTTGGGTATGCTTGGAGGGTCAGGGGACTTAGTAAGCAAGGTTATAATTACCCTAATTGGGCCAATTGGGGTTATAAGTACTTATAAGTATAGTTACCTTATTTGCAACCTAGTTACTAAGTCCCATGATCCTGTAAGTGGGCTATTGGGTTTCCAACCTTTGGGTCGGGTCCCGGGGCTTCGGGTAGCCCGGTCTATTTCGCCGCCGCTGCTCAGGTGAAGTCGATGAGGATTCTGGACCTGAAGGCCTGCCTTAGGTTTATAGGGTTTAGGGGTTTAGGGGTTCCGGGGTTAGGGGTTTAGGGTTGCCCTGGGTTGAGGGCTTAGGGGGTTTAAAGGTGGAGGGCTTTGGGGTTTAGGGTTGCAGGGCTTCAAAGTTTAGGGTTTTAGGGTTGAGGGTTTAGGGTCTTAGGGTTACAGGTTTTTTGAGGTTTAGGCTTTCGGTGTTTAGTGTCTAGGGATAGTGGAGTTTTGTAAATCAGCCGCAGGTTCGGGGCTCAAGGCTTTGACTTTGCCTTCGAACGCTTACGCAGCCTGCAGCCAGGCGATTTTCGCAGAGTTGGTCGGCACGATGCTTCTGATCCTCATCGGCTGTGGTGCCTCAGCTAAGTCAGGAGTTGACCTTAAGCCTCGGAGGTCACTGATCAACGTTTATGCCCAGATGTTTGCGGGAGTCTTTTGCTGGCATGGCTTGCCCGACTTCGAGGGTGAAGCTAAGAGGCATACGGTTTTTGCTAGGGATCTAAGGACTTGTTTTTTACTTTTTTGGGGGCTATAAGGCTTTAAGCTGATTTGATCCCTAGGGTTCTAGGTTAGTTACAAGGTTTCAGGTTTTAAGGGTTGGGGTCCATCAGCTTGCGGGAGATGGCTTTTCGTCGTCGCTCGGCATTGAGTCACCCGAACCCCGACTACAGAGGGAACCGGGCCTGACTTTTGAACTAAAGGCCAGACAAGCTCAGGTTCCGACCTTCAGTCTCCATTGTAGTTCCTTTGTTTGGTTAACCAGTCTTATGGTTAGGATCCTACAATAGAGATTTTGGTCAACCAAAAAAAGGAACTACAATGAAAACTATATAGGTAGTATCCTGGAACGTCGAAGCCCCTTACCCCTTCAGCACCTTATACCACCCTGAAGATACTGGGGTTCTTGCTAGTTAAGGAATTGCATTTAACAGGTTTAACTAATTATATGGTTTCTGCTCCATGGTAGCTTAAATGAAGTTCTTTAGCAAGAACCTAGAATAGCTTTGATGAAGCACTCAATTGCTTGCAAGGTGTGGCGTGCGCTTACGGCCCCAGCGATGGCCAAACCCGACTTCTCGTAGCTCTTGCGTTTGGAGGTGGCGTGATGGTGCCTTGGCTTCGGGGTCTCAGAAAGCCCCAAAGGTAGATTCAATTTTCTGCCTCCAAGCATACGAATACATTCTCGATTGGTATGTTGCTTCCTGCCACCCTTTTTAGAGAGAATCCGTTTTCCGTTTCCTAATTTGTTTTAGGTGTTTAGGGTTTCGGGTTGCGCATGGTCGCCTGTGGGAATCAGGGAACATACTGTTGATGGACAAAATCCTGCATGACCCTAAGGACTCTAAACTATGGGAATTATGGTATATAGTATATACCTTATAATGGGTAATGCAGGATTTTGTCCATCAACAGTAGTATGTAGTACGTAGGCTAGAAAGCAGGCGGAGCATGTTTGGCGGCTCAGGGGTTCGTGGTTCACTGGGTGTAAGGTAATTGGGTTCTAGGCACTAGGACCCAGAGTAGGCCCTTATTCCCTTGTTTAAGGTTTAGGTTCCCTTATAAACCCCTTTAAACCAAAAAGGGCACCCTTTTAATTCCCAGGTTACTCTTAGGGCAAGGGCAAGATTATGAACAAGACCTGGATCCAGGGATATCGGAGTGAGGCCATCGCCTATGCCATCGGCCATCACAGCGGTGGGCAGCTGAACTGCGCGGTGACTTTCTCGCGGCCGGGGCTCGAATCAGTGATCCCAGGGCGCACACCTAGGGTCCTTGTAACCCTAAGGATTCCATTTCAAGGGTTGCTTTAAATGCAGAGAGAGTAGGGTCGACATGATTACCTGCATTGTACATGTGCTTTGGCCTTAGACAGGTTCCTTTGTAGGCATAGAGTATATATACACCCTAAGGATCCATAGTCCCAGATAGTATATACTGAGGCCTTTAAGTATCTACCGTTTGCATTAGGCTGCCAAGGCGGGTTTATCAGAGTTCTAAAGTTCTACTAAATGCTGCATAAAAAGCTTTTAAGGTCCCCAGAAAAGTGCAACAAGACTTGCAGATTGTGGGGAAAGCTCTGATTCTGGCCCCAATTAACACATAAAACAAGAGGCAGGGCTGGTATGTATATAATCATCAGGGTTCAGGGTTTAGATTCATGAAACACCTCTGAGCTTTCTGGTCAAAGGGAAGGCAGTCAGGTCTTTTCTTCGGACTGATTCAAAGTTGAGGGATTGGGATTTGCTACAAAAATCTTGAGATGGCTTTCGCCAGCGTGGTCACCCTTCAACCGAAGGACTAAATAAGCAGGGATCCTACGCACCTGTACCACTATATGATGAATTCCTATATGGTATTTGAGCCCTAAGCCCATACCGCGTAACCCCTTTCAGGGTTCATCTCGTCCTTCAGGAGCTGGCATCTGCAGTTCCGAGGTAGCCGAAATGTTTCGAGTCGGAGCATCGCAAAGAAATTTTTTTGAAGTATGGATGACATTGGCTAATGCCTAAGGATGCATGTCTGTGACAGTATGGCAAATGGTATGGCACAGTATAGCATAGTCTATTGATTTACAGTGTCACCATTGTCGTTTGTGTTCTTAAGTATGCTGCAACGTCTTGTGTTCGTTCCTCGGCTCGGGCAATGTGTCAAGTGTAGTCCAGGTACCCTTCGCCCCCAAGCCCGCCAGACCCCCCTAAGCCCCTAAACCCTAAACCCCAAACCCTAGACCGCACACCGCTAGACCCTAAACGCCCCAAACCCCTAAACCCTAAACTCTAAACCCCAAACCCTAGACCGCACACCCCTAAACCCTAAACGCCCTAAACCCCTAAACCCTAAACCCTAAACCCCACACCCTAGACCGCACACCCCTAAACCCTAAGCGCCCTAAGCCCCTAAACCCTAAACTCTAAACCCCAAACCCTAGACCGCACACCCCTAAACCCTAAACGCACTAAACCTCTAAACCCTAAACTCTAAACCCCAAACCCTAGACCACACAGCCCTAAACCCTAAACGCCCTAAACCCCTAAACCCTAAACTCTAAACCCCAAACCCTAGACCGCACACCCCTAAACCCTAAACCCCTAAACCTCTAAACCCTTAACCCCTAAACCCCTAAACCCTAACCCTGATGGGAGTCTTCGAAGACCCGTTTCGCCATCCCCAGGGTTCTTACAGCAGCTGTCTGTGTGGTCCATGTATAGCCTCAATCCTTAAGAGTAGTGTATAGGGAATCCCAGCACTATTTGGCCTTAATCCGGTTTCCAACTTTATGGGGGTTACTGTAGGGGCCTTGTGATTAGACTAGGGTTTTGAGGCATATTCTACCCTGGTCTATAGTTATAGCAAGGAACCCCCAAAACCATATTCCAAGTATGCCGGCCCCTAAACTAGGTTTTAGGGTCAGGTGTACCGATACGAATCTGCAAAAAGAGTTCCCTTCCCTGGTTGGCCTGCCAGCAAAGGCTCGTGCTTGGTGGCGCAGTGCCATGGTATCAAGGACCCTGCACCGTCCTGCCAGTGCTGCTCCTGGTACTGCTGCTCTGCTACTTTCTGCTGCTACTGCTCCTGCTACTGCCACTACTGCTACTGCTGCTGCCGGGGGGGCTGCTGCTGCTGCCGCCACTGCTACTGTATTGCCACTGCCTTTGCCACTCGCACTGCTACTGCTACCGCTGCTGCTGCTGCTGCTGCTGCTGCTGCTGCTGCTGCTGCTGCTGCTGCTGCTGCTACTGCTACGGCGGCTGCGACGATGGCTTGGACGGCGACGACGATTGCAATTCCTGCTTCCACTGTTTGCAGCTTTTTCCCCCATCGAGCACCTGGGTTTGGTTTCGATGAAACTGCTTCAAGATTCTACCTGCAGATTCTCGGCGAGCAAGAATCTTCACTGTCCTGTCGTGCAGTTCCAGCAAATATCAGCTTTTCCCTTGCATCATATACTGGAAGCCTTTCCGCTCAAAGACTAAACACAAGCTCTACAATAGCTGACCGTGCCGACAGGACTGGGAAACTTCGTGGCACAAATGCTCGGCTCTTTCGATGCAAACGGGATGGGTTCTTAAAGTGGTCTTTTTTGCTCAGCTCTCATATTCTGCAGTTGTTCGGCTCGGACAGTGGACGGTCGGCTGAGCGGTTTCGTCTTCCTAACCGCTGCCCTCTCTCTTGGTCAATTCGCCCCGGCCCTCACCCGTTTAGAAAGACACCTCAAGATTTCAGCACATGCATCACTGCAAACACGCAGATAGGGACCCCGCCTAGACCAGCATGAAGCCCTCTTCCAGCCGAGCTCCAACTCGAGGCAGCGTGCTTGGCGCCATCATCCTTTGTGGCATCTATCCTTGTGAGGACAGGGGAGCTCCAGAAAAGAAGGAACTCCAATACAGATCCCATGTAACAGAGCTTTCAATTTTGGAGGCCTGCAGGTCCCCGACAGATGCCAGTAACTGGGAGTGTACCCCGGTGTCAGTGTTTCGGCTTGAGGTTTCGTAGTCGGGATTTCGGGCTCAGGGTTGTGTGTCGGGGCAGTCAGTTGATGTTGCTGTTGCTCCGGAGTCTTCCTCGTGGTGTGGCCGTTGCCACTGATGACTGGCATTTGTGTTGCTATTCATGCTGCTGCTGCCAGTGCCATGAGTAAGTAGTCTCCTTCTAAGCATGAGTATGCATAAGACCATCACAAACCTCAGGAAGCTTGCAGATTGTCTTCGACACCATGTACCGCCCATGCAAGCATTCCGCAGGAAGACAAGACTGGCTCACTGGCGTCCAACATGCCTGCGCCAGGAGCCGTGTGAGCAGCCTAAACTCTGAACCCTAAACCCTAAACCTAAAACCCTAAACCTTAAACCATTCACCCTCAACCCTAAACCCTAAACCCTGACCCTTGAAGTACACCCTAAATCGTGCCAGGTGTGAGGTGGCACTAGTAGCAGTAGCAGTAGCGGCAGCCAGCTATAGCCGTGCAGTCGCTGCAGTATGTAGTAGTAGTGGTGGTGAAAGTTGTACAGGTCGCGCTAGGAGTAGTAGTAGTAGTAGTAGTAGTTGTAGTAGTAGTAGTAGTAGTAGTAGTAGTAGTAGTATATAGTAGTAGTAATCGTCGTGGTGGTGGTGGCTGTGGTGGTGGTGGTGGTGTATATAGAATCAGCAGGAGTAGAAAACGATGTACACGCAAAAGCAGTAGAATTAGCAGGAGCAGTAGTAGGAAAATGAGCGAAGATAGTTTAGTAGTGGTAGTAGGGGCGGCAATGGTATAATTACCGCACCGTTGTTGCTGCTCCTGTCGTCGTTGTTGAAGTTGAGGTTGATGACAAGGTCGGTTCTGCAGCAGATCAGGCAAGAGTGATGATGTGCAGCTATCTCCACTTGCACAATATTAGTGTCTTGCGGTGCTTGGAAGGGCAGGGGACTTAGTAAGTAGGTTATAAGTAGAGTTATAAGTACCCTAAACGGAGTTACCCCAATTATAGCCCTACTTATAACCTACTTACTAATTCCCCTGCCCTTCCAAGTGTTTAATATGAGAAAGGATCTTGTCCAGTTCTCTCTTCGTCAATCGTACGCAGTACTGGGCTGGACTGTGTCGTCTTCGGGGTTTGCCATGTAGCGCTCAAGCTTGGGCGTGCTGTTGTCTGAGTTCGGGCTCCCAAAGAGGTTTTGAAGGTCTGCGCTGCCTTGCAGGATATGAAGAGTGGCGGGTGCTGTTTGGCGCAGCCCGGTATCGCATTAGGTGCGGCCAGCTAAGGAGTTGTGCTTATAACATATATATATATATATGTAGACGCTCCAGCAGAAACGATTCGGCCCCAGATGATTATTAAACTTGCAACCTTAAGCCCTAAACGCCTAAACCCAGGACCCTAAGCCTAAACCCCTAAACCCTAGTCTGGCCCTTGTGCATCGTAATCTAAAGTAAAGAATTGGTGACACGCCCAGCTTCGTCTTCGCAGAGGGTCTAGATACCAGAAACCGAAGCCTCTAGTTGCCGATCCTTCGTAGGCGAGTAGATGAATTTGCCCATGCAGGCAGTGTCGTCGATCCGCTGGGTACATTTATACGCAGACACGCAGCTCTCTGGCTCTCTATCCGTGCATATCTGGGTGTGTACATACATATATATATATATATGTATACACACATATATATGTATATATTTATTTATATGTATACATACTTATATGTATGTAAACATGTTTGGTTGTATAAACTTCGACACAAATGCACATACATATCGCTGGTCATGCGAAGCTCTGCATGCATGCACATTGCATGTGCATGAGAGCATATATAATATATATATATATATATAGATGTATGTATGTATGTATGTATGTATGTATATAGTATATATATGCATATTTATATATATATATATATATATATATATATATATATATATGCATATTTATATATATATATATATACAGACATATACATATACATATTCATACTCATATACTTTTGCATATATATATATATATATATATACATATATATATATATATATATATACATATACAGACAGAGCTAAATGCATATGTGCAATTTTATGTGCATGGATACACGTATGCATACATGGCCACACACACCCACGCACACTTGATTACCTGCTAAATTGAATTCGGAGCGACCTCAGATCAGCTTGTTTGACATCATCTTGTGTTGCCAAGCCGAACAAGCAACCATTCGGCTCAGCCCTTTGTAGCACAGAACCACAAAGGGAGATGAGCCATGACACACAGCCTCATGAAGCCGTACCTTCTTTGACGAAGCTTTGACAGCCAGTCCGAGGAAATATTCGGTACCTTCATGCTGTGTTTCACCGCGACTGGGCAGACAGCTGCTTCAGGGATCATGCATAACATGGTTGGGGTTCACAGTTTAAGAGCAGAAGCAACGTAGGGTTTAAAGTTTAAGAGCAGAAGCAACTAGACAGAGACAGGCTGTGCTCAATTTGCTGCTTTTGGTTTCATGGAGGGTCTTCCTTAGAGACTCATGACAGTGATGCTAGTTTACGGTTGGTTTGAGTAAGTGTTCTGCCATGAAACAAGCAAGCAGCCTTTTACATGACGGCAAGCTTTGGATGCATCTGCAAATGGGCACCGCTACTGTAGGTAGTTGGGGAAGTCTTAGGCGTCGTGCTTAAGAAGTTGATCTAGTTTCTTTGCCGATACCCTAGTCGGAGACGTAACACATGTAAAGCTCGCTGTTACCCGGTGGAAACTAATGGCACGACACAGCAGCAGCACATTCACGTCACATCGCTTTTACTCGTAGCTGGCCGATATTGGTTGCATTGCTCTTGATTACCTAGCAGGAGAATGATGGGCGTGAGTGGTCTTCGTCCACTGCGCCGATGATGTAGCAGCAGCAGGAGCAGGTGCAGGAGCAGGAGCAGCCTGAGTAATAGGTATATCACGTGGTAGTGGTGGTAGTAGTAGTAGTAGTAGTAGGAGTACTTGTTGTTGGTGGTGTTGTTGTCGTCGTTTTGTACAAAATCGAGATTTCGTATCTCTACCGCGAATGCTGAGGTTTGGGAGTGCGCTGTAACGCCAGCTGCTAGCTGCGGAAAGAACGTTTGCTTGGCGACCCTTGGGTAGCGACAAGCTCATGGCTTCCGGCTCCGTCCGAATCAGTAAATCGGGCCTTAATAACTATCTATACTATTTTGGGGGTTCAGTATGATAGTTATGGTAGAATGTGCCCCCAAAACCGTATTCTGACTCACTGATTGTTAAAGCCTTATGTTGCCTAATCTGGCTGGGTTTTGGGAGAAAGGGCTTAGGGATTGTAGTTTGGGCGTTTTGGGGTTTCGGCTGCCTAAGCCAGTGCCTCCCCTGCTACTGTTTGCACTGACCCCAAGGTCGACAGTTGACAAAATCCTACATCCCGAATCAGGAAATCCCAAGGCTCTACAGCCGTGGATGATTGCACCCCTGAACCTGAGCCTCACAATAGCTACTATTTGCTTAAGAACCCCGAAAAAATAAAAAATATATTCCTTATGGGGGTAATATAGGGATTATTATTTTTTTTATTTTTGGGGGTTTCTTAAGCAAATAGTAATAGTCAGGACGATGAAGCAAGCATTCTGATCACCTGAGGATTGGTGGGGCCGTCTTCGTGAATGTGCTTATCTTGCTCCCAGCCCCTGGGCTCTCAAATTCCTGCATTTCTTGGCATTCTTCTGGTTTGCTCTTAGAGTGTTTTTAAGTTTTTGGGTTTCTATGTGAACTATAATAATTAGGGCTGAAAGTTCAACTTTTAGGGGGGGTTCAGAAGGCAGCTAAGTAACCGATCCGGGTAACCCTAAACCCTAAACCGTGGCTCTGCTTTAGGGATCAGGTTTGAAGGTTCAGGGATCAGGCTTTTGGGTTTGGGGCTCTACCCATAGGCTCCACAGTAGTTCCTTTTGGGGATTTTCCTTTTTGGATTTCTATACGAACTATAGTAAGGAGCCCTAAACCCTAGTAAACCTTAAACTCTAAATCCTATTGACCCTAAGGCCCCTAAGCCCTAAACCCTTGCAACCCTGAACCCTGGTAATGCAGGATTTATATCAGCAACCCTAGAGGAAGTCATCCAAGATTTGGTTTAGGAGCCGAGTTGTTCAGGGTATCGAGGGTTTGGGGTTTCAGCAAGTTCAAGGGTTTCAGTTTAGCGACGCAAGAAGGACATCAGCATAAGCATTTTTATAGGGGATATCTCTACCTGAATGGGCTTCAGTATAAGGGTTTTTATATGGGGAGATCCCTATCCTAAATTTTGCTTAATTATGTGCTTTTTTGGGGCCCTACTCAGTGTTACGGGGAGGGGGTAGGGTTAGGGTTAGGTCTACAGCTCTAGGAGTTTACATGGCTTCTGTAGGGATACTTCGTTCATACATCGGCCCGTACGATGCAAGCACCGGCCCACCCTTGTGAGTTTAGGGTTCAGGGTTTAGGGCTTAGGGTTTAGGCTTTATGGCTACTTCCATGTCCATGGTTGTTAGCGTGGCCGTCTCTCTACTTAGAGGATCATGGGACTTAGTACGTAGGTTATAATAGGGGTTATCAGTCCCCTGAGTTGGGTTATCCTAATTATAACTTACTTTTAACCCTAACTACTAAGTCCCATGAGCCTTCAAGTATACATTCATTCGATTATTCAGGCGACCCCTTGTAGCCGAAACCCTTTGCATGCTCTTCTCTATGATTAGAGCCATGATTAGCCCTCGCACCTCTACGTGTATTACATACATATATATATATAACTATATATAATTATATACATATATATATGTGTAGGTAGGTAGGTGTGTATGTAACCCTCAACCCCAAACCCCTAAACCCTAAACCCCTAAACCTGCATTTTAAAACAAAACCCCTAAACCTAAACCCCAAACCCTAAAGCCCCAACCCCTAAACCCTAAACCCTAACACGCACAAACAGGTGGATGGCTGCTCCCTGAATCCGAATCGTTCCTTCGGTCCGGCGGTGGTCAGCGCCTTGCGAGGAGATCTGGGATGACACAAGTTTTCATAAGTAAGTCAGGGGTTCACAGGAGCAGAAAAAGAAAATGGTATGGGTATTGACAGATATGGCAGCAACGACGAACAGGTACTTGCCTCAGTCGTCCATATTCAACTATAAAAAAGAACAGCTGCCGTCGTCACCACCACTATCACCACTGTCGTCGCCGCCACCACCACCAACAACAGCAATTGGTACTTATCGTCATCACCATATTCCTTTTCCATCCACATCAGCGGCATTGTCTCGGAGATCAGCAACTTCCAGGGCCGGCTATCCCCAATGGTCCTAGTACCCAATAAACATGTACTCTCCAAAATCCCAACCTACATAATTACTATCCTAAAACCTAGTACCCTAATTATTGGGTCTCTTAGACCTTTATAAAATCCTCTGAACCCCTTATGGAACCCTTTAAAGGAACCCTACCTGTTGGGTCTGTTGGACCCTTAGGGTAAACCCTAAATCCTACACTAAAGCGTAAATCCCTAAACCCTGAAGCCCAAACCCTAAACCCTAAACCCCAAACCCTAAACCCCTAGACCATAAACCTCCTCGGAGGATGCTCCAACTACCAAGAAGGCGGTCTGGAAGCCTTGTGGATGATGTTGCCTGGCAGGTGACCCTACGTAGTAGCTGACTTAGAAGAGGGTTCCTTTTAAAGGGGTCTATAAGGGTTGCTATAAGGGCTGTCATAAGGATATAAGATAGGTGCCTAAAGAGTTACCTATACTTTGTTGGGTCCCCCTACAATAATGATGGCATAATTCCAATTATTAAGGGCCCTATATTGCTAGTAGCTGAGCGGGTAACCTTTGACCTTTGCGGTTTCTATAACCCTACCATACTTGAACAGGTTAACCTTCTTTGGACTAAGGTACTCAGCCCCTAAGCCTGGACACCACTGTTACAACGTCCGAATCCTTCCGCACATTCCCCTGCACTGCAGCTGCCAGTGACCCATATCACTGTGAAGGTACCTTTGCACACGAAACAAGTCTTGGCTGTTTGAGGACAAGCATTCCGTTTAATTTCAGGCTCCTTACCCGAGGGATCTATGGACTCATATATTCAGGCGTTTGGGCCCAAACACCATAGTATGCAAGGCTTTTGGGCTGCTTTGACCCCTAGGATTATATTACCTTTGACGACCTCTCGGCATCTCGGTATGATGACAACCTAATCCTAACATTGAGCACATCAACAAATCCGCCGTCAACTCGCCTCTGCAAATTCTGAGCCATAAAGTTGACACCCAAGGCCCCACACCTTTGACAACTCTATCCCGAAACCCTAAACCCTAAACCCTAAATCGTAAACTGCAGCAAGCCTGAGCTTCAGAGGTTTTTAGGCCCTCTCGTGGGCGGCCTGCTCGCAGCGTTGATGCAGCGCCCGCTGCAGCCAGACAAGGCGTGTCGTTCAGGGTATTATAGGGGCCTTATTAATTACCTATACTATGGTGTCGGGGTGGGTTCCTGATTATAATTACAGTAGAATGGGCCCCAAAACCCTATTCTGGTCATTAAGGCCCCTACATTACTTGTTGACCAAACTTTGGGGAGCCACCACTGAGTTTTGAATGAGCACCTTGCGACTCCATAAGGCGGCACACCCTAAACCCTAAGCCCCTACTTGGAGGGTCAGGGGACTTAGTAAGTAAGGTCATAGGGACCGGAATTGGGGTTATAAGTAATTGTAAGTATAGTTACCTTATTCATAACCTTAGCTACTAAGTCCCAGGACCCTTTAAGTAAGCCTTAAACCACACTGCCTGCAACTTGTGGAATTCCTCCTGGGTGCAGGCCATCTTCAGTGGCGAAGAGACTGTGGATTCCCCAAGGAACGAAGAGCGCCTTGGACGGCTTATCAGGGTTTGGGGTTTTTGGCCGACGGGATCAGTTTTAGGGCTTTTGGGGGAGTCGTAACTCAATGGTTCCTACTACAATGTTGAAAGCTGCGAACATGATAAGCGTGGCGGTAATGAAGCTGATGATGATGATGATGATGATGACTGTGACGATGAGGGCAATGACTAAAGTGATGTTGACGACGAGGACGAAAATGTTTAATTGCGATCAGGTGGTTGCGATTGATGTTTGTGCCTTGATACTGTAAACCAATGAGCTTGACTTGTTGCTTGGTTGTCGTTACAGTTCCTAGTAGTGCGATTGTGTTCTGATGCGTTCTATGTAGTCGCAGGGGCTGCTCTTGCTAGTGTTGGTGTTGTTGCTGTGGTGGTGGTGGTGGTGGTGGTGGTGGTGGTGGTGGTGGTGGTGGTGGTGGTGGTGGTGGTGGTGGTGGTGGTGGTGGTGGTGGTGGTGGTGGTGGTGGTGGTGGTGGTGGTGGTGGTGGTGTTGCTTGTGTGCTTGTATGTAGACATTTTCATAGCTACGTACCTGAAACCACCCTAGCTCAAAGGACAACGACTGCAGGAAAGACATATTTTGAATTTCAGTTTATTGCAGAAAGCAGACTTAGATTTCGCAAATAGCATGCAGGTAAAGTAGCAGCAGCTGTAGCAGCAACAGACACCCCACAACCAACACTCCACCACCACCATCACCACCATCACCACCATCACCACCATCACCACCATCACCACCATCACCACCATCACCACCACCACCACCACCACCACGACCACCACGACCACCACGACCACCACGACCACCACGACCACCACGACCACCACGACCACCACGACCACCACGACCACCACGACCACCACCACCACCACCACCACCACCACCACCACCACCACCACCACCACCACCACCACCACCACCACCACCACCACCACCACCACCAAACACCCAACAAAATTAAAGAACACGCGTGCATGCATACATGTTTAAAAGCTTACCTACCCATACCCATACCTACCTACCAACCTACCTACCTGCATACATACACGCGTACGTACCAGGTGCACGTACCTACATAGTTGTGTCCATAGAAGTATACACATGGATACATGCACACCTGCGTAACATGTGTGTGCATGTCAAGGCAATACTGGTAACCTTAAACCCTTAGCTATACGGTTGATGATATAGATCCTGCATGACCCATAATAAGGAATATCCCATAATTCCCATAGCTTAGGGTCCTTAAGGTAATGCAGGATGTATATGATCAACCGTATCATCGGTATATCGGCTGGCAAGAGGCCTTCGAGTCAGCCAGAGGATGCCCTGAAGGATGTGCTGCCCGGCATCAGAAGCGATGGCGTCGGGTTGAGGGTGTAGGGTTCAGGGTGTAGTTTTTCTTAGTTCAGGCTGCTTTAGGAATCCACACTTACAGTTTGGTGTTAATATAGAAGCTTGAATAGTTACCATTATTATTTCTCAGGGCTTCTTATTGTGATTATACTAAAAAGGAGCCCAAAGCCCTTTTGTAATGTTAAGGCCCTTACATCAAGGTACACGGGGTTAACTTGCGAAATCCGGCGCCTATTGGATGATCCTGCCCACACTCCCTATCTTGGGCAACCAGGCACATGCAGCCAACCGCACAGGAAGACAGCCTGAGCTTAGTACACGAACAGTTAGGGGTGTTAATGCCTACTTACTTGGTCTGTGGGTTGTTGTGGTGGTACAGCGACAGCGCCGGTTAAGAAACAGTTAAATTTTTGTGAGGGGGCTCGATTTCTTCTTTTTGAAGCACACCTTGCTTTAGGGAAAAAACGTTTCGGTATTTGAGGGTACCCTGGATTTCTTAACCCAAATTACTTAATTCGCAACGGCAGCAAATAAACAACAAAAACAAGAAATGAAGGCGCATCAGGATTCGAGCCCGCAGCACTCCCCATTCCAGCTCATGTGCTTGTCCACTCGGGCGTGGCAGCCCAAGACTTCTGAAACGCCACGATATCCATCCCATTTTTGACCCAGCTTGTAAGCAGCCCTACCAGAACCCCCCAAAATAGGAAATCGAGCCCTTCAATTTCTTAAATTTAGGAAGTGAGCCCCTCAATCTCAATATTTTTCCTTTTTGTCAAATTCTTAAAGTTGAGAAATCAAGCCCCTCAATCTCTTATTTTGGTGGTGTTTCTCCTATATGGAAAAGCTCAATGAGACCCTTATTAAGCCCTTACAAGCCTCTACAGCCTTCCAAAGCTGTTATTCAGGCCTTATTAAGCCCTTATTCAGCAGGCCCAGGACCCACCAAATAATGAACCCCTTATAGAATGGCTTTGACGCGCCCTTCTGGAAGCCGCAATCCCTAAGGCTCCATGTACCCATACAGTAGGTACTTAGGCCTTAAAGGGGTCCCTATATAGGCACTTTCAGGCCTAAGTATATACTATATGGGCACATGGAGCCTTAGGGTTCTGGAAGCCGCAATAAAGCACAATAGACGCAGACAGCTCGAGGCCACCTGATCGCATCGAGTCCATGTGAGCCGAGCAACCTTTGCCGCCTCCCCAGGTGAAACTTGGGTAAACCATAAACTCCTAAGCCGCAACCCCCTCCCGAAAACCAAAAGCTTACGCACGGGAGCCCCTACTCCCAAACCCCTAAAAACTAAACCCCTGAACCCCTAAACCCTGAACCCTTCAACTTTACGCCATAGACCGTGCCAGACGTGGAGTGTTCCATTTCCGTCATGCTGGGCACTATGATCCGAACGGAACCTGCCCTCATGCACGGTGTACTTGCCCCAAGGGTTTGCCTGTCTCTGTTTTCACATGTACTTTCCTATAGGGTTTAAACTTAGATTGGGACTGAGAGTGCCACTTGCACATTTTCATTCTTACACATGTGTATAGGGTTAAGGGTTTACTTACATTGGGAGTGTGACTTACATACTTCATGTGTATATGTGCACAGCACTACTGCCATGCTCAGAAGCTTTGAGATTTTTCCCAGACCTTCCAAAAAAGCCTTTAATTAAGGAATATACTTTAAATCATGGTAGGATCCCTGATGTGATTTAAGGTGTATTCCTTAATTCAGGGATTTTGGAAGGTCTGGGTTCACTCCCAGACTGCTTACATTGTAAACTCGGACCCGAATGACACAGAGGCAGCCTAAAGGCCAAGCCCTCCGAAGACATAAATCATGGGAGGCCAAAAGGGGGGGTTAAGATTCTTGGGGTAGGGATTCCTTAATATGAACCTCTATTATGGGAGCCCTAATCCCTACCAAACCCCTTTTGGCCTCCTATGAAAATAACCCCCTAAACCCCGAAGCTTACCCAGAGTATCCAATGTACCTCTAAAAACGGGATATATAATTGGTACATTTATCTTTTTTTGTATGGTACCTAAATAGGTTACTCTAGGTAAACCCTCAACCCTAAACCCCTAAACCCGTAAACTCCTAAACCCTACTCCCCTCAACCCTAAACCCTCTAAGCCCTAAACCCGAAACCCCTAAACCCCTAAACCCCTAAACCCTAAACCCTCTAAGCCCTAGGCCCTAAACCCGAAACCCCTAAACCCCTAAACCCCTAAACCCCCTAAACCCCTAAACCCTAAACCCTCTAAGCCCTAAGCACACAGGCGCCCTCGGGGCTTCGTCTCTGGGATGTTTCCCCGGAGACTAAGAGAGCAAAACGCTCCTTTCCATTTTTTTGAAGCGGGCCCACAATCCACGTCCGCTCCTCGGTTTAGGGTTTATAGGGTTTAAGGGTTTAGGGTTTAAGGTTTAGGGTTTAGGGTTTAGAGTTCAGGGTTTGGGGTTTCGTTTCGTGGCCCGTTTAGCGCCGATTAATGTTATAATCCACTTTAAAGGCACCCTTAACCCCTATAGTACCCCTTTAGAACCCTTTAAAGGAACCCTTATGAGCAAGGATCGCTCAAAGCCAAAGGCGGCAATCGGAGGAAGATGCATCCGGGTGCAGGTGAAGTTGTCGCCGCCATGACAGCAGCAGGCCACCTAGCGCTTCGGACTTGAACCCGCGCAAACCCTAAGCCCTAAATCTTAAAGTTTATCGACATCGAAGCTGTAGTTCGAAAGCCGCAGGAGTTCTGTGACTACATGGCCTAGGGTTTAGGGGTTTCGCCTTCAGGTTCCGAGATGTTGTTTGGATGTCATTGGCTTTAGGATTGCCGGGTTTCGTGTGTTTACAGCTTTTCGGAAGTATGCGGATCTTCGTTTTACATGCAAGAGCTCAAGTTGGGCCCGCGGACTTGGCGCCCGTAGCCACGCAGAGCAGTGCGAGGATGCAACTCGAATCCGGATGCTGTGCAGAAGAAGCTGCGGGCATCCAGGAACTGCTCAGACCTTTCCAAAATCCCTTAGTTAAGGAATATACTTTAAGTTATAGTAGGATCCCGAATATGATTTACGGTTTGTTCCTTAATTAACGGATTCTGGAGAGTCTTTGTGCTCCATATCTGCGAAAGCAACTGCGCTCGATTTAGACAGACGTGGTTTGTAGCAGCAGCAGTCGACGCAGGGAGTTTTTCAATCGTCGTACCCTGGTCAATCTTCTTGTCTTACCAAGAGCATCAGAGAGGACTTGCTTTGGACAACTGTTGGAAGCACCTGTGCGCATGTATGTATATGTGTATGCGGCATGCATGCACATATGTTTTCACACCTGAAAGTTAGGACCACAATATAATTGCAAACACACTCAGCAGCAGCAGCAGCAGCAGCAGCAGTGACAACAGCACATCATCAACAACAGCAGTAACAAGAAAGACGTCAACAGCAGCAGCAACAGCAACGGCCACTGCAACTGCAACAACAGCAAGAAGAGCAACAGCACCAGCAACAACACCGACCTCACCAGCAGGGCTAAGTGTGTTTTCCCAGCGTTGCGGCCAGTGTCTGCAGATAAGAAACCGCTTCACGCCAACATGATGTCATCACCAACAGGACGCAGGAAAGAACAGTCGCCAACGGCATCACCATCATCATCATGATCATCATAATCATCGGCATCTTCAACATGTTCATACTCCAAGCCTCGGTCCATTCTCATTCGGAAGACTCATGCGAATCTAAATATTCACAGCCCCTCAGCTTCGTAGCACAAATGAAAGCATGGAGTTCCATCTTTGGTGCACATGTCCGAGCATCTTGGGAGGGGATGCGGTCTTTGTGCGATAACTCGGTTGCACTTTTAGGCACAGTTTGGCGGCCACGCATCTGGCCAAGCGCACATGCTTTCCAGATTCCTTTCCGGAACCTACAACTAAGATTCCTCGAATTGAGGAAGGAAATACTCTGGAGATGGCAGGGTCATGTGGCACCTAAACCCTAAGCCCCTAACGGCGGCACAACCTCCTCCGATGCAGTCCTGCCTATCCAGGAAAATTCGGTGAACGTGAGAGTTTGAAAGGACTGTCCTGGACAGCACTGGATACTCAAACGATATGCTTGAGAGGAAAAGATGCCCGAACAAGGCCTGTGCGCCTGGGGGTGCTAGTTCCTGCTGTTAAATCCATGGGCCATTGTTTACAGCTTACTATCGCACTCTTACATGATAACTAACTTCGAAAAAAATCCAGGATGGTGCAAGGATTATCTAAGGAAGCAAAGGCCATGCAAAGCTACGTAATGGCGTTGTGACTATCGAGTACAGAAACAGTACCTGTGGGAAGCCCTGAGAACCCGCTTCTGGTCATCTAGGCAGCTTGATTTGGTGGTTTCCGAAAATTAGGGGTGCCGTTAAAGGGATCCTTTAATTGTCCCAAAAAGGGTTCTATAAGGGGTTTAGAGGTTAGGGTTTGGAGCTTCCGAAAAACCTTAATTTGGGCTCCTTTTAATGACAAGGATCCTACTGTTTAAGTGTACCATATTAGGGTCCCCTAGTTGATTCTGGAGAAACAGTTTGCCAATCGCAAACTAGAGTCAACAAATGGAAGAACTGGTGTTTTGTTTTGCAGCCATTGCCACTTCGGCTGTTATCAAGCCCTCCGGCGTATCTCATTTATGTTACGATTGGTGTTTATAGTTTCTTGCAAGTGTCGAGTTGGCTGTTTCTGACATGTCGGGTTCAGCTCATACGGATATGCAGCCCTGAAGCCACCAAGCCCTCGAAGCCCTACACGCCACCAGCACGACAACCTTTAAAGCTTCAGCCGAGCATGCCCTTGTCGCTGCGATTGCCATGGCTCTTCTTGTTTGTTCTGGCGAATGCAGACGCCGAGTTGCCTGGCGGAGGGCGGCGTTTCCAGGCCGAAATGTTAGCTTTGTCGTGTTCCTATAGCCCTACACCCTAAACCATACACCCTAAACTAAGCCCTAATCGATTCAGTTCCAGCGTGACCTGTGTGATGTTGCCGATATGATCGAGAGTAGGACTGCAAGAGCACCGAGCGGATCCGTTGGGAGTAGAGGACGCGGAGATCTGGCCTTACCGCGCAAGCTTCAGGCTCAGTAGCTGAGTGGATACACACTTTACACTTTTTGGGGGTAATATTACCCACTGTAAAACTGAAAGTGTACACTTCTTTGGGCTTCTGAACTCAGCAACTAGGTAGGGTGTTTGCGGGGGGGGGGGGGGGCACGGAATTGGGAAAGACTGGTGCGTTTATTTCGTGACCTAAACCATGCTGGTGGAGAGGTTTAGACTCATACTTCCCGGTGCCCAATTTAACAAAACCGGCTCGCTGCATGCTATGTGAACTGCTCTGTCTCTGTTTAGCACTATCTCTGCATCCTAGGTTCGATTCATTTGGATACTTGGGCGTGTAGCTCGGTGCTTCAGGGTGCTACCCTAATAGGCTATAAACCTTAAGCCTTAAACCCTAAGCCTAGACCCTAAACTTCCCTAAACCATAAACCCTAAGCAAACATGGATGTTCGCCTTCAGCAGTACTATGGCACGAACACCGTACCGGGACTCCCACCCAGCTCCGCCTTAGTAGCGCAATGCATTACCCAGACGCTCCATATTTACTACCATTATGGGATTGGGTTCCGAAAGCCATAATAAGAATGCTCTTGTGGGACATATATAATTCCATAATGAGGTAGTATGTATATATATATATATATATATATACACATACATATACATGTATATATGTGGAGCCGCTAGGTTAACAGACGCCAGGCCAGTAGAAGTTGAAAATATCTCGCTCTCTCTCTCTCTCTCTCTCTCTCTCTCCCTCTCCTTCTCTCTCCATCACTGCATATGTTCAGGCATATGCTATGGACTTACGTATTACGTAGGTATGTATGTATGTGTGTGTGCATATACCCATAGAGATAGACGTTCATGCCCATATATCTACCTGGATTCCTGGATAATGCGTCGGTACATCTAATTAGCATGTGTCCTTTTGTGTTTTGATGTATTATACATAAACATATACATAAACATATATATATATATATATATATATATATATATCTTGGTATTTAGTTGCTTAATTATTCATTTATGCATATACCACCTGTGCACACACGTACATACAGCGATTGCGCTGGTGAACATGTCTTGGAATTTAGTGTTCTTAGTGTTCAAGGTTCTCGGGTGGAGTAGTTTGTGCACGGTAGTTCAAGGTAGCCCTAAACCTTAAACCCTAAACCCCTAATCCCTAAACCCCTAATCAGCCATCGTTATCCTCGGAGAGGTAGGACTATTTCTTGCAGCAGCTTGGCATCGTTTTAGGCTTATAGGGCTTAGGATTCAGGGCCTCCCAACAGCTGTATTAGAGAAGTCTGAATAAATGCGAAACTGCCCATAGAACACCATGTCCAACTAGAAGGTACTAGACTAGAGGGGCCCAGCTACCAGTAGCTACACCTGTCAATTCCTTCCTATTGTGTATTGGACTCGGTGCAGAAACAACCCTGCAAAGCATGTGCAAAACCACTATAACCCTGTATTCTGTATAATACACGAGAGACTCTAAGCCGTCAAACTCGCCAACCAACAACATACCTTATGACCTCCCATAAAGCCCAAACATGTCCCCAAATCCTAAACTCGAAGCGGCCACATGCCGTGAACCTTAAAGCCTAAACCCTTGACCCTAAACTCCCTCAGCCCTAAACCTCAAAATCCCAAGCCCTATACAGCCCGTAGAGAACCCTTAAATCCCAAGCCCTACCATAGCGGCTATACGACCCTAAACCCTTGACCCTAAAGCCCGAAACCCTCAACCTCAAAAAATCCCAAGCCCTGCGGTTGATGATATAAATCCTGCATTACCCAGAATAGGGAATATATGGGAATTATGGTATATTCCTTATTATGGGTAATGCAGGATTTATATCCGTAAACCCTAAACCCTAAAATCCTATAGATCCCTTTAAGGAGCCCCTTAAAGGTACCCTTATAGATCCCTTTAAGGGAACCCTAGGATTTATATCATCAGCCGTTGGCAGGCCACGGGCTTGAGCTGCACTTCAGGCACATTAAACGAAGCCTTGAGCCACGGAAGGAGTTTAGGATTCCTTTAAGCGTTCCGTTACGGGATCCATAAGGCTGATGGACAAAATCCTGCATTACCCATTATAAGGAATATACCATGGTCCTCATAGTTTAGAGTCCTTAGGGTCATGCAGGATTTTGTCCATCAACAGTTGGGTTTAGGGGTGTCGGGTTTAGGGGTTTGCGGGTTTAGGGTTGAGGGTTTCGAGTATTAGGGAGTTTAGGAGTGGGCCTTTTGGATGCTTGGTATCTTTCGTGCGGGGTTGGCCCTAAGCCCGAAACCCAAGGCCCAAACTTTGCAGTAAGATCTAAACCCTAAAAACTGTGGGGTTTCATTCAGGAGTTTTCAGGTTTAGGGTGTGAGGGAGTCTATAATCCTAAACCCCAAGCCCTAAAGCAAAACCCGGGATGGGAGTGTCGGTTCTCTGGGTGGTTAACAGAAGCAGCAAAAGCACCTCTTACGGGTGGCGGGCCTTCGGCGTTCTTTGGAGCTTCTGGTTTCAGTAGTTTAGGACCTTTTTGCTCTAGGTTTAGGGTTTAGGGTTTAGGGTAGTTGTTGATGTTTAGAGTTGAAGAATTTCCATGCTTCGACTGTTAAAACCTACACCCATGTAAATCTAAAACCCCTTGATACCTCAGAGAAGCCTATTTTAACACAAGGTATCGCGCCCTAAACCTAAAACCTACCTGCATAAACCCCAAACCCCCTAGACAGCCTAACACAAGGTATCGCGCCCTAAACCTAAAAACTGCGTGCGTAAACCCCAAACCCCCCAGACAGCCAAACCTTCAATCCTTACAGAAGAAGCTCTTTCTGACATAAACCTTATTTTTGTTTCATGAAAACCTTATAATGACCGGTATCGCACCCTGAACCTAAACCTATACCTGTATAAACCCCAAACCCCCTAGAAAGCAGCTTTGAGCTGCTTATCTCCCTGGTTCTTAGTAGGGAGTGGGGGAATGGATCCCTACAGTAGTCCATGTATAATCCCCAAGAATAGTCTCAATAATCCATTGATCCAAAACCTAACGTTTCAACATTTGAGCTCGTATGAGGTAGTCTTCTTCTGAAACTTTGAACCTTTTAAGCCTTGGGGTTTTTGGGAAGCAAGATGTTCGGACGGTGCCAAGGAAAGGCGCAGGAAGAGCCGCTGCTGAAGCTCTCAAGGTGCCCCACAGGGATCCAGGGGGCTTTGACAAGGAAGTACAGGGGGAGCATAGGGTTTGGGGGGCTTCTTGTACTATAATGATCAGAATAAGGAGCCACCGTGTAGGTAATTAATAAGCGCGCTATATTAGTACCTTTAGGGATCAGTTCTGAAGTTGTTGGTTGTGTTGGGGTCCAGGGTTCAGGGTTCATTAATCCCAAAACAGGTTATACCCAATAAAGGACACTGCATTCGAGGGTCTAGGGCTGTAGTACGACCGGAGTGGGTGGGAGATGCTATAGGTTCAATGTTTCAGGGCGGAAGGTTTAGGGTTGAGGGTTTTCGGGTTCAGGATTGAGAGCACCGCTGGGTTGAATATGGTGCTTTAGAGGGTTGCTTGCAGGGTTATAATCACGATCTCTAATAGCAATAATGCTGATTCCAAGTGTTGCTACACAGGCTTCTACAAGGTTCGTTGAGGGTTTAGGCTTTCATTATTGGTTCTAGGACTGTGGATTCAGGGTTTCAAGGTTTGGGACTACGGGTGTCAAAGACTAGAGTGCAGCAGCATTTAGTACGGTTCGGAGGTGGTCTCGGTTTAACTACTAGGTTCCTGGGTAGTACCCTTTTGCCCTTTTTATTCTAGGGTTCCCTTTTTCAAACCTATGGCAGGGAAAAGAGTACCCTTACGGAAATGGGGCTACTCAGGAGCCTGGTAATTTAGGGCAGGTGCGGTCTAGGCTGTAAGCTGTACGCGCCCGTTTGCTGAATAATTTTGGCTTCTGAGAACGGGACAGCAGCATCTCTAGACAAGGTAATCACATCCTGAAATCCCCAAGTGAGTACTTTAAGGCCTAAGTAACATGGAGCCGTAGGGTAATGAGCCTCACTAATTCAAGCGGCAGCGTGTCACCGCAGGTTCCTCACCCGACACTGGCCGTGACTGACACGGCTGTGGCCCACTGGGAGACATCGCGTCTCATCATGTGGGCAAGGCATATTCGGAATGAGAGTGAGGTGGTGTCTTCTGCACCATACAATCCTCGATCCCTCACCGGGGCAGCAAGCGGTGCCACGAGCTGCGACCACAGCTGCAGCATGCGTCCAACCACATGTGTTCCACATCATGGTCGATGCAGACCAATTCCTTTCTGCATTGGCTCGCCGGTTCTATCAAATGGCCGGAGAGCTTGTCCCAACTAACCCCTAGACCCTTAAACACTGAACCCTACTTGGAGGATCATGGGACTTAATAAGTCAGGTTATAAGCCCCTTAATTGGGGTTATAAGTATAGTTACCCTAGTTATAACCCTAGTTACTATGTCCCATGAGCCTTTAAGTATGCCCTAAACCCTCCAGACGGATGTCAACCCGATCCTGCCGGTTGCCCAGATTCTGGTGGCGACCAGCTGCAGTGAAAGCACAACGATGCCTCATGGGATCGGGCACATTGCGCAAAGCCCTACTTGGAGTGTCGGGGGACTTAGTAAGTAGGTAGTAAGTAGACTTATAAGTACCCTAAAAGGGACCCTAATTGGGGTTATGGTACATATAAGTCCTTAACATGACCAGTTACTAAGTCCCCCGACCCTCCAAGTAACCCCCAAACTTAAGCCATAGATCCCAAGCCTTACCCATAGGCTCCATAGTAGTTCCCTTTTGGGATTACCTTATAGGATTCTAAACATGAACCACAAAAAGGAACTACTGTGGAGCCTATGGGAAGCCGCTTGGACACCTTCGAGCACACTGAATCCCATTGAACAGGTTTTACAGCTAATGGTTTATCATTAGGTTTGAGAGTGCAGGATTTAGGGTAACTCCTTAAACCCTCCAAATCCTCCTTTCTTTCCTAAGCCGAACCTCGTAGTTGTGGAAACCGTCCAACAACGTTCGAAGAGGCCCTGAGGAATGTTTTTGGCACTTTTGTATAAATAATGTTTAGCGAACCCTTGTAGAACCCTTAAAGAATCCTTAAGGACCCATTATAGAACTCTAGAAGAACCCTCAGCTTAGGGGTCCATGTACCCATACAGTATTTACTTTGGCCGTAAAAAGCGTTCCTTTTTCGGTACTTCCGCGAAAACGTATCTACATACCGTACAGGTACATGGACCCCTATAGGGTTAAGTCAGGCTTCTCTATTCGGTAATCATGATGTGAGAAAGTATGCCCCATAACGGCCATAACGGAGGCCAGGTTGGGGTACTTGGAGGGCCGGAGGACTTAGTAAGTAGGTAGTAAGTAGGCTTATAAAGGCTTATAAGTACCCTAATTGGGATCCTATTTGGGGTTATGGTACCTATAACTCGATAGCGTAGCTACGTACGAAGTCCCCGGACTACCAAGGTTATTCTGGGGGTTCCTTAATATGACCATAGGGTAATACACCCCCCCCAAAACCCTATTCTAATTTTTAAGGCCCCGGCTTTACGCCCAAATCCAGAACCCATAACGGGCTCATTACAGATCCTTAAAGGAACCCTCCAAAGATCCCTTAAAGGAATTCTTAAGGGAACCCTCAAGGATCCCATAACGGTACCTAGGGTTAGGGTACGCCTGAGCCCCTTAGTAGCTGAGTGGATACACTTTACAACTTTTTGGACAAATATTACCCACTATTGTAAAACTAAAAGTGTACACTTCGGGGGGGCTTGTGAACTCAGCAACTTAGATCCAGAACAGGCCCACGACAGCAGCGATGACCAGCTCCTAGAGCGATCGGAGCTGAATTTCACGCGGCTGAAGCATTTGGGGGCGACGGAAGACGAGGCGGAAGGTTGTAAGGGTCCATGTACACGGGAGTTTCCGAAACTTTGGGGGGTACATCATTTTGGGGTCCTTATCCTATGGATCCTACTATTTAGGGTACTACATTGGCCCTTTTTCGGAAACCCCCATATACTGTGGCCCCAAATTACCTATGTAGGGACTACTTTAAGGCCAAAGTACATACTATCTGGGTGAATGGACCCTTCAGGGAAGGCTGTAGGAGCTACCTGATGCCGAAAGACCCACAGTCATAGGACTCCATCTCAGGATTTCTCTGATGATTCCTCTGCCTGTTTCCTTCAATTGTGGGAGTGATTAATTTCAGAGTTCAAGAGGTCGTGGTGAGGGTTCAGGCTTGTTTCTTTAGGGGTGTTAGGGTCAAGGTGTTTCGGGGTTTTCCGTTGGGTTTCAAGTTGGGTTTGGTCCGCTGCCTCCGCCCACTGAAAGGGCAGGCAGAAAGGACCGCAGGTCCACACCGCGGCGCCACCGCACCAGAACGCCTCCTAGGCGTCGCTCGCTGCCTTCTCTCTCCCTCTCTGACTTTATCTTGCCCTCTCTGCATGTGTATACACTCTTCATTATGGATGTATGTATGTAGCTTGAGGTAGTCATTCAGGGCATGCGTGGCAGCAGCAGATCCCAGCACTTTGGCCCATCTCCCGATACTTTCACTTTGTCATGGTTGGGTAACATTTTGCATTTCTATGGGTACTTAAACCCAATAAGGAGCAAAACGTGTACATTTTTTGATCCTATCCCAGCCATGAACTAGTTCACCCCTCCTGCAGAAGCATTGTTCCCTTCGTCTGAAGACCAATCCCGACACCAACAACTCCAAAGCTCCATGCAACCCTAAATGTAGGGGCCTGAATAATTAGAATAGGGGTTTGGGGATTTATTATAGTATGACTATGATAAGGCACCCTCTAAACCCTATTCTGAGCATTAAGGCCCCTACACTAAGCCCTAAACTCCTAAGCTGGGAGCTCGAGATCTGGCACCTAATCCCTCGACCCGAGACTCTGTGATCTGGAGGCCTTGTATGGGATCTTCCAGGAGGTCCCTGTGGTCCTCCTGGAGGGTACCGACCTGGACAACTCATCGCAGGACATTTCGGTCATTTAGGGCCAACATCCATGCTATGTGGGTACATGGTTTATGGTTTAGGGTTTAGGGCTAAGTCCCTTAACCCTGAGCCCTAAAATAAACCCTTATAGAACCTTTAAACTATGTGGTACATGGCATGTACATGGACCCTTATATCCTAAGACCCTTAACCCTATAAGCCCTAAACCCTCTGTTACTGGGGCGGTCAGTGATAATGTTTAGTGCAAGCCTGTACAGGCAGGGTCGCTGCACAGAAAAGGCCCACTGCATTTAAAACCAACCCTTATAGAACCTTTAAACTATGTGGGTGCATGGACCCTTATACCCTGCACCCTAAACCCTTATGGAACCTTTAAAGGAGCGCATAGGGCAACTGCGGAACAATCTGACTGAAGACCTGAAACGCAAATCCACAAAACCCCAAACACCCAACCGAGCCCGATGACACCCTTAGGATGTATAAACGCCCCGCCCCAAGGGTCCATGTGCCCAAGTAGCATATGCTTTGGCCTTACAGTAGTCCAGATATGGGTACTTTGGGGTCAATGTATATGCCATTTGGATACATGGACTCTTGGGGTAAGCCTTCTAACCCTAAACCATAAACCATAAACCCTAAACCGTTCTGTTCCCAAGCCCTAAATTAAACCCTCTGCTCTCGAACCTAAACACCAAAACAACAGCCAAAACCTCGTGAGGACCCTGGCTCTGAAACCCTCCCTGGACCCTACGGAACCTACCTTTTTAGGGTTCCCTAATATGTTTTCTTTGTACAAGTCCTTAAAGTGGAGGGTTGCTTGGGGTTAAGGTCTACTCTACAACCCAAACCCAGGGAAAGCCAAAGCTTACGAGGAGCTGCAATCAAACCAGTGGTGCCGACGTCGTCTTGATGGCTGCGGTCATAAAGCGGTCGCGGCCGACCTAGAGGCTTTACTCAGGGTTTAGGGTTTTGGGCTTTCATGGTTTCGGGTTTTAGGCTTTCAGGGTTTAGGGTTTAGGGCTTTCAGGGTTTAGGGTTTTGACCTTCAAGGGTTTAGGAGGTAACCTGTTAGCATCTTGGTGGTCATATCATTCTTCTTATCCGCAAGGTCTTGTTCCTCTGGAATACTGGGCAAGTAAGCCCTATCCAAGGGTGATAGGAGGTTCAGTACATGGGAGTTTCCGAAAATAGGGGGTACCTTATTTTGGGGTCCTTATAATGAGGATCCTACCATTTAGGGTACCATATTAGGGTCCCCTATTTTGGGAAACTCCCACATAGACCTCATGAGCCCCAAACACTGAAGCCCTTGAACTCTGATCGCCACACCAATAAAGCGGTCGGAAAATCGCAGTACTTTTAATTTTAATCTTAGTTTCCCAGAAGTCCTATTCCAAATGAGGCCACTTGAGGCCCGATACGAAGCCCGTATTGGGTAGCCCTATAGTAGGCCTTGTGGCCTAAAGCCCTAAAACCCGCAGATCCTTCGAAAACAGAGCCTTGAACCGAAGCACTTTGCATCACTGTGTGTCTGCGAGCCCTAAACCCTAAACCCTAAAACCCTATAGATCCTTTTAAGGAGCCCCTTAAAGCCCTAAACCCCAAAACCCTATAGATCCCTATAGATGCCTTAAAGGAGCCCCTTACAAAGGTACCCTTTCATGTGTCTGCGAGCAGGCGAAGCTTCCTCCAGCTTTCAAGAGCAGTGCCGTGATCTGCGTCGGCTTCGGGCGAGGCCAGGGCTCCCTTTGAGGGTTCCTTTAGGGTTTACCGTAAAGGTCCAAGTAGTCCCTATTTATGGTTTTTGGTACCTAATGAGGCCCTAAAGTCCTATAATAGGGAGTACTTGGACCCTCTGGGTTTAGGGTTTAGGCTATAGGTTTAGGGTTTAGGGTTTAAATTTAGGGTTTAGGCTATAGGGTTTAAACTTAGAGTTTAGGCTATAGGTTTAGGGTCCAGGGTTTTGGGTTTTGGGTATAGGGGTTTGGGGGTTTAGGGTTTCCTTTAACCCCAAACCCTGAGGGTCCACTACAAGCGTTCCTTTAAGGGTCTGCTCAAGGGTTCCTTGAAGGCTTCAGGTGTTAAGGGTCCACGTGCCCAAATATACTTAGGCTTAAAAAGTAGTTCCTATCTATGTATATACATATATGTAGGTAGCTTGGGGCCAAAGTATCTACTATTTGGGTATATGGACCCTTTGGCAAAGAACCTAATTTTGAATGACGTCATTAGGCCCGTCGGAACTCAGAACAAGGAGCCCTAAAAATGAAGCTTTTGTAGGGTCCAGGTACCCGGTGTCGGTTGTTTAATGGCATTGGGTTTCGCGGTCTAGGCTTCGGGGGCTGAGTTTTGAAGGCTTTGGGTTTAGGGTTCAGGTTTTTTGGGGGAGTTCGGGCTTTAGGGGATGAGGGTTGAGGGTATATCAGGGCATTTGGTTTACGGTTCAGCGGTTTGGGGGGTTTAGGCTTGAAGGGTTCAGGTAGGGGGTTTGGGTCTGGGTCTTTGGCTTAGGGAGTCGCCCTCTGGATCTTTCTTTGGGCGTAGTGCTTCCACATTTAAAGGCTGGCTCAAGGGTCACGTCACATGTGAGTTTCCGATAAGGATCCTGCTATTTAGGGTACTATGTTAGGTCCCCCATTTTTCGAAAACTCCCACATGGTTTGTTCTGGAATTGTCGTGCTTCATAGGGCTACCAAGACGTCTTGGTGAAGGCCCCCGTCCCTGGGAGCCTTTGTGTCCAGATATACATTATGTAAATATTCTGTGTGTATATATATAGATATGTGTGTGTGATAGGTGCATATATATATATATATATATATATATATAATTATACATATACATACACACACAGGTTTCTCTTGATCTTCGCAATTCTCTATATTTCATATGATAGCTATGTGCTTCTTGCAAGCTCTACATTCTCGGAGGGCTTGAGCCTGTGCGCGTTGTGAGTAGAATTATGGCGCAGCTGTAATCCGAAAGCGGCAATCTCAAGCCGTAGGCCACACCGACTGACAGAGAGACCCATGCGTCCAGAATGTCCGTTCCCTAACTTCCTCGAGTCTACCGCACGCACTACATCTTTAAGCCCGGAGCCTGTGAAGGAGTCTGGCTGATGAGCACCTATGCCACCATGTTCCCACAGAACTGCGGCTTTATTGTGTGGGTGGGCTCTCCGAACGAGGTGGGACTTGCGGCTTTACTACGGTGCTTGGGGTTTTAGGCTTTCTAGTGTTTAGAGTTTGTTTTTTGGCTTTAGGTGTTCAGTGGTTTAGGGTTTTGGGGCTTGCAGGTGCTTGGCTTTGCTTTTAGGCTTTGCTTCCTATGATCTGCCTCTTCGTGTCGCCAGCCCTACACGACACGACACTAGATACTACAGGGGCTTTAAACAACTACCAACCATTTTGGGGGGCTCCTTATAGTAAGTATAGTACAATTTACCGCCAAACCCTATTCTGATGATTAAGGCCCCCCCCCCCCCAAATTTCATGTGCGTCGAGCCTGGGTTGCCGCAAGTGTGTCTTCTCTCTCTGTCCTTGAAGTTTGAGGTTGCGAAGCTACACAACAGGGCTTAGGGTGGTTCAATTTGAGTTTCGTTTTCAGGGTTTAGGGTTTAGGGAATTAGGGAGACTGCGACAATTAGTTGGGTCCTTCGGGGCTGGCCAAAGAGTCGTGCCCGACTTATGAAAACTAAGTCTCCGGAAGGCCCACCGAAGCGATGAACCCTAAACCCCTGAACCCTAAACCCCTAAACCCTGAACCCTTAAACGCTCCACCCTACTTGGAGGGGCAGGGGACTTAGTAAGTAGGTTATAAGTAGGGTTACAATTGGGATAACTCCATTTAGGGTACTTATAACTCTGCTTACAACCTACTTACTAAGTGGTTTGTAGGGTATAAGGGTTCATGTACACAAACAGTCAGTATATAAATCGGCCCCGAGGTACCTATTTAGGGACTGCATTAAGGTCCAAGTATACATTATATATATATATATATATATATATATATATTCAGGTACAAGGACCCCTACAGGGCAACCCTTCACCCTGAAGTTCTAAACCCTACCTAGACCCTTAAGTATAGTGTTGGTTTGGTCCCTTAGTTTCTTATTCTAGCATCCTAACCATAAACACTACGCCATCCAACAAAAAGGTACTACGTTGAAGGGTCTAGGTAAAGTCCCCGAGGTCTTCGCCCCTAAACCCTGAATCCTAAACCGTAAGGTAACCCTCGACCCTGAAGATCGAAATCCTAAACCCCCTGAGGTCTTCGACGTGACTTTCGGAATCTGGGTTCTGGCCATCCACCCCTACACCGACCTGGCAGAGCCTTGGAATTGACAGAAAGTTGACCAGAGGTTTAGGGTTTAGGGTTCGCAGGGGTGGGAATAGGGTTTGGGGGCGGGCGGTGCGTAAACGGTTTTTGCGCGTGATTTGTTTTTTTTCCTTATACCTTGTGTATAAGTTATTGTAAAATATACGCCGAAGCCCTCTTGAAAATATCAAGGTCTCTGGATGGTACTTCTGATGAACAAAATCCTGCATGACCCATAATTAATAAGGAATATACCATGGATCCTCTAGTTTAGAGTCCTTAGGGTCATGCAGGATTTTGTCCATCAAGAGTAGGGGTTTCCATGCATGATTTCAGTGACCTGAGGACCGAAGATCGTTTGATTCTGTCGCTGGGGTTATGAGTGCGGTAACTCTACTTAATTCTACTTACATGTGGGAGTTTCCGAAAATAGGGGACCTTAATTTCGTACCCTAAATAGTAGGATCCTTATTTTAAAGACCCCAAATAAGGTACCCACGGTACCCCCTAATCTCGGTAAGTCTACTTGCACGCACTTGTACCAAAACGTTGAGGCACTAATGGCAGAACTTACTCAGTCGTACCTATAGTCTCCCTTGTATTTTTTTTTTGGTTAACCAAAATCTCTATTTTAGAATCCTAATGGAGACTATAGGTATGATCGTCTCAGTAGGGATCAGAGTTCACGGATAATGTGGATGTTAATTAAAAGGGCCTGTACCTGAGCCTACATCCTAAACCCCAGACCCTAAACCCTACTTGGAAGGGCAGGGGACTTAGTAAGTAGGTTATAAGTAGAGTGGTAAGTACCCTAAATGGAGGTACCCCAATTGTAACCCTACTTAGAACCTACTTACTAAGTCCCCTGCCCCTCCAAGTAGACCCTAAACCCTAAACCCCATAGATCCCTTTAAGGAACCCTATAGATCCCAAGGAGCCCTATAGATCCCTTTAGTAAACCCCTAGCAACACTGAAACGCCCCAACACTCCACGATCCCAAACCCCAAGTCTGCCAAGTTGGTCGAGTCGCCTGGGTTTCCCATGGTTTCTGGGTGTTGTGGACGGACCTGGGAGTTTCCGAAAATTAGGGGTACCTTGTTTGGGGGTCCTTGTAATAAGGATCCTATTCTATAGGGTCCTATATTAGGGTCCTCTATTTTCGGAAACTCCCACCTGGCAAACCTCAGATAACCGTGTGCAACAGGCAACAGCCCCTTGTTACGTGAATTCCTCTGCCAGGCCTAATCGTTTCGGTTTGTTGAAGGTGATATAAAGAGACAGCAATACCGATGAGAGCAGCAAGACTCGTAGCAATTGGCAGCAGTGATGCTAGCGGTGGTGACAGCAGCATCAGGTGTGTGTGTGTATATATATATATATACACAAGACTAGCATCGCACGTCATGCATTAAACGCAAGAACAACAAAATCCAATAACATTGGTGGTAGTCGGTGGCTATGCTGAGGGTTTCAATTCTACGCCAAATGAAAGACCGTAAACCCTAACCCCTATCCCTCAAACCTTCAGACTCAGCACATAGAACCTTCATGATGCAGCTCTAAATTCTAGACCCTAAGCCTTATGTTAGAGGGTTCAGGGTTTCAGCTTCAGGCAAGCCTGCCGTACCGTCACTCGTCAGCTTGCAGGAGGTAGAAAGAAGGGAGTAGCTGGCGCATCCTTGTCGTTCCTGCAGCCCCCATTTTTGCTCCTTTTGCGAAACCCGGGCTACAGAGCCACTGGGGTCGAGAAAGACGGCAATCCAGTGGATTGCACACCCTAAACCCTAAACCCTGGACGGCCAGTTCAAAACAACACGGTATAGTCATTCTGGCCGCCATGCAGCGACGGAGATGGCTCTTTCTTGATACTGTTCGACTCGCAGCTGCAGCTTGGAGCATCGTTTCCACTGATGGTCCCGGTGGCATGAATGCCGCAGCGGTTCATGATTGCCAGACGGATCTCTGGTACTATGGTGCCTTAATACTTTGTATTTTGAATAAGGTTATGCCTGTACATCATACTCATGCTACTCGTATGTACATATATATATGTATATATATATATATATATATACTCACATCTACTTACATGCATACATACATACATACATACATATATATATATATATATATATATATACATATGATATGGAAATGATGGCCAACGCCTAGGATGTTTGGTGGCACTTACCCTTTGGCGGGTCGAAGCTGTGGAGGTTTAATGTGGCGAGTGAGTCGTGGAGGGAAGAGGACGGCTCTCCGCCTTCAGTCCGCTCGAACGGTCAAGGCTGCGTGGCGTCAGACGGACAAGGAGCGGTCAGAGTTCGGGGTTTAGGGTTCGCTTCGTTGCCACAGTTTTTTTAGGGATTAAAGTGCCCCTCCATCTTTCCCAGACTCAAACCTTCAGCTATGCTCCGTGGAATCTGGTGCCTGAGGAAACCTCTTCGTTTTCTCTGGCGACGATACAGCGGACCTTTGGAAGTTCCAGATTCAAGGCTGTTCAGTGGTGCTATAGGGGCCTAAAAAATGATAACCAATACTATCTTGTGGGATCCCCTATATTAAGTTGTTTCACTTGTCTTTTGTTTGCATCTTCTTTCCCTAATATGTTCTACTAATCGAGACGTAGCCATCTACAAACCCTAAGCCCCAAGCCCTCAACCCTAGACCCTAAACCTTAAACCCTCACCCCTAGACCATATACACCCTAAGCCCTAAATACTGAGCAGCCCAGGATCTCAATCTCTTCGTGGAGTCGTATTTCCCAAGATGGTGGGCCACTGCGTCGTTGGGGCCACCACGTTTTCATCGACAGCAGCAGCTAGGTATAGCTTTGAGAATCTTTTATGCTTAAAGCTTGGAAACCCACTAGCCTCAATCCTGAAGATTAATGTATATAGGGAATCCCAGCACTTCTTGTCCTTAATTCGGTTTCCACCTTTTTGGGGTTTGCTGTACAGTGTACCTACCCAGAACTATGTTCGAGGCCAAACCCTAAGGGTCCAAAGGACCCAATAATAAGGTTCTCGGCTTTAGGATAGTAGTTATGTAGGTTAGGATTTTGGAGAGTATATGATTATTAGGTACTTGGACCCTTGGGGTAACAACTACAACCCAGGCAAGAGAGTCTGGGTTTATGGAGGCTTCAACTTCGAAGGAGGGTACAATCAAGATGGTGAGCTTTGGCATTTCACCGAGGAGTCTTCTTCATGGTTCCAAGTTGATGATGGAAGCGCTCGCGAAGCTGTATGTTCAGGAACTGGAGATATTGATCGTGGCGACATTTTCTGGCAGTTCGGGGGCAGATTCCCAAACGGAGGATGGTCCAATGCAATGTGGAGTTTGGACACCAGTGCTGCAGTGTGGACGGAGGTCGATTCCGGTAGTTCGGTTGGAAGCCCGGCAAAACGTCGATACCTGACTGGCCACCTCGACGGACTGGGCCGCTTCTGGATCTTTGCTGGTGAGGGCGGCAATGCGGATCTTTGGTCCTTTGACACTGCGCTTGGTGGTTGGACCCTTCATGCCTCTGGCAATGGCCCAGGCCAGCGGCAAGGCCACTCTTCTTTTGTGGATGCAGCTGGCCGATTCTACGTCTACTCTGGTGCTTTTATGTCACGGGAGCTTTGGCGTTATGAGCCCCCCAATCTGGCTCCCAAGGCATGTGAAGCATCTGCTTCGAAAGTAAACGTCACCAGTGCGATCGGCGAGCTACATGAACCCAGCCTCAACGTGAGCGTGGACGGCCACAACATCTCGATGCAGCTTTTGCTCCCGACCCTTCCGCTGCCATCGTCCCTGTTGGGAGGTGAGAATCTAACATGGAGGATGGACGTTGCTTTGGCCACGGAGAGTTTGGATCCGAACTCAGCATGCGATTTATGGGCGCCATCGAATCTCACATACCAAGCTCATCTATCTCATACGGATTTACGGCAATCATGTGCTCTTCAGGAGACCGTGTATTTCAACTCGACTGATGATGCCTGGGTTCAGGACGCCTTTTTGGGCATCTTCGTCGTGTCGGAGGCTTTTCTCGAAACTGTTGCTGGGCCGCTCTTGGGAATAGCTGGGTTCTTGTGAGATTCTGGTAATTCAGAAACCGTAACGAGAACCCAGTGTAGGATAGTATTGTACAGTCTTTAGAAAGATCCAACCGGAAAGCCCCTATACCCGACTAGACATACTAACCCTCAACCCTAAAACCTACAATCCTAACAATGCAAAATAATATAGATTCCGAAGACATAGTACAACTATTCCTTATGCGTATGGCTCCTTATCATGACTTTAGTATACAAATGTATCTCCAAACTCTATTCCAATAGTTGAGACCCTGTTTTTTAGCCCTAAGCCCTTAAACCCAAACCCCACAAAAAAAACTGGACGCTCAGCCCTAAGCACTAAACCCCTTACAAGCCCTCAAACCCTACAGCCCTTAGAAGCACCCAAACCGGAAACCCTGAAACTCACCCTAAGGGTCCAAAGGATCCAATATTTAGGTACTTAGGTTTCGGATAGTAGTTACGTAGGTTACTATTTGGGAGAGTGTCTGATTATTAGGTATTTGGACCCTTAGGGTCAGAAGCAAGGTGGCCTTGGGTGCATTTGCGCTTTCGAAGGTCGTCATCGACTCGGTCGTCCCTTGTTCTTTCTCCATTTCATTTCTCCGGTTTAGAGTTCGAGGGATTAAGGGTGATATAGGAGGTTTGTTAGAGGGGTTCTAAAACCCTGAACCCTAAACCCTAAACCTTAGGGTTTGCTGGGTTAAGAAGTTCGGATTAGGAGCATGGTGTGCGTTTTCGGGCCCCGTGAAGGCTGTATAAGCGATTTAAGAAGGTTCCATGGGGTGAAAGGCAGCCCTGTAGGTACTTTGAGGCCAACGCATATAATCACGATTTGGGCGCGTGGACCCCTGCGGATATTGATTTCTGTTCTGTCGAGGTCTTGCGATCGGCAAGGGTGTGGGGGAACACCCGCCCTACAAACGAGGTTCCCCAGTAGCACCCCTTGACCTTTGTTTTTAAGGGTTCCCTCATTCATCAAAGCCAAATAGTAGGAACAAGCGGTACCCTTAACTTATTATTATTCGGGGGGCTACTGGGGACCCTGGCAAGAGAGACTTTGGCAAACTTGACAGCGTAACTGGCTGAAACACCAGCGGGGCACGTGGCATTGTCGTTTGGTAGTTGGCAATCCTAAACCCTAAACCGACACAGTCTTTGGAAGGTCACTGAAACCTTGAGAGTTCGCAGCTTCCCTGAACCCTAAACCCTATGAAAAAAATCCTAAACCCTATAAAACCCTAAACCCTATGAAAAAAATCCTAAACCCTATAAAACCCTAAACCCTTTATAAACCCTCCAGAGATTTTTATCGCTTCCGCCCAGGCGAGGATGTGGGTTCTGCCCTTACGGATGTCCTTTGCAACGAAACCGCCGAGCCTTGCGGGAGACAGCTTCCTCTTGAAACACTGGAATGGGAAGTGCGTTCCTGGGTTCTTGTTAAGGAAGTTTAGTTTAAGGTGCCAGCATAGGGATCTATAGTAAAGGCAAAGACTATGGTTTCCTGGGCTCTTGTTAAGGAATTTTCCCTAAGGGTCCAAGTACTCCATATAATAGGATTTTGGGGCCTTTTTTCGGTAGCCAAAATCATAAATAAGCACTACTTGGACCCTTAGGGTTTAATTTCATTAAGGTGCCAGAACAGGGATCTATAGTAAATGCTAGGGATTTTTTTATGGTCACTTAATTCAAAATTCCTTGTTATGGTAACTTAGGTTACAATCCTTAACAAGAGCCCAGGTTCGTGCGGAATCTGGAAGCACAGACCCCGGAAATGACGAGCCTCTCGTGTTCTCCGACTCCTGCAGCACATCCACGGCCCTGCTTTTCAGGAAGGTGTACTTTCAGAGTGACGGCGCCTACTTCAACCTCCAGCTCGAGAATCTTGGCCGTTTTCTGGTTGGCTCTTAGGACTTTCACTTTTTGGGTTTCTACATGAGCTAGAAGAAGGAGGCTACAAGTTTAATTTTTAGGAGGCGTTCAGAAGTCAGCCAAGGAATGGCAGATGCATCCATCCCCGAAATGGTCAGGCTTCCATGAATGGCAAGCTCGTGGCTTGGGACTCGTGTGGAAATGTCGACACTGCAATGTTCATCTTCACAGCCGCGGGGGCCGAGTTTGTCTTGAAACACAAGGACTTTGTCATAGTCGTGGAACATTTTACATTTTTTCTAAGCACTTAAACCTTATAAGGAATAGAATCTTGGATTTTCATTCCATCCTGGTCCTAGCCATGGACCGGAGGAGAGTGGCATGTGCGTGCATCCCTACCTTGGTACTCTTCCTGTCGATGGCCAGTACTTGGTCGTTTTCCCGAGCTGTTCGTCGGCTACCAAACTCCTCTTCACGGAAATGGGAGTTTCCGAAAATTAGGGGTACCTTATTTTGGGATCCTTATAATAAGGACAAACTATTTAGGGTACTAGTAGGCTCCCCTAATTTCGGAAACCCCCAAAATGATTCCTCCCACAGGCTCCCTCAATGTGAGGTAATCGACAGTAGAACTGTGCTGCACACCGGGATGATGCAGTACGGAGCAGACGTCAGTGCAAAGCTGCATGCTTTCTATGGAAGATAGCAGGTCGACACCGACTGTGTCGAAGTATATCTGGTCCGAGTAACCTAGTTGAAGACCAGGATGTTGCTTTCTGCAAAGTTTGAAAAGAAGATAATGCTAATATAGGGGCCTTAATAATTAGAGTAGGGTATTGGGGCCATTCTACTATAGTTACAGTACAATAAGGAACCCCCCCAGACGAGCATTGGTAATTATAGAGGCGCTTATACTTACATGGGTCAAACCTCGGGAGACCCAGAGACTCCAATATCCCTTAATTACGGGATACACCTTAAATCATACCAGGGATCCTACTAAAATTTAAGGTACATTCCTTAATTAAGGGATATTGGAGTCTCTAGGGAGTTGGATCCGGCACCAGAAGGCATCTTGGGCGGATCTAATTGCTGGAAGTCACCAAAGGTGTCATGCATTGCGCGAGGTATGCGGGGCCTGAACGATTGCGAGGACCAATCACTGTTCCATAGGGTTCCAGGCAATAGCTAGGGTGTAACATGCCCCGAAGCCCTAGTCTAAATTATTCAGGCCCCTGTGGTATGTGAAGTTTCTGTTGCAAAAGCAACACCCTAAGGCTCCAGTTACCTGAATACTAGGTTGCTAACCATATCATCTGTGACCCTGTACCCTCAACCTAAGCCCTAAACCCTAAACCTGAAACCCCAAACCCCAAACCCTAAATACCTTAAGCCATACCTGTAGCCGGAAGACCTACCTTTTTAGGGTTCCTTATTATGGTTTCTAGATATAATTCCTTAAAAACAGGCAGGTCGTTTGGGCTACAGGTAAACCCTAAACCCATTATTTGGGCAACCGGAGCCCTAGGGACAAGCAGCAAATGCAAAGAGGCGGCCTCAGCCTGCGAATCTGCAAAGGCAGATGTCTTTCACATGCCCTGACCCTTAGGGTCCAACGGTTGATGATATAAATCCTAGGGCTCCTTGAAAGGGATCTATAAGGGTATCTTTAAAGGATCTATAGAGGGCTTAGGGTTTAGGGTTTAAGGATATAAATCCTGCATGACCCATAATAAGGAATATACCATAATCCCCACATATTCCTTACTCTGGGTAATGCAGGATGTATATCATCAACCGAAGTACGTCATAATGATAGTCCGTATATGTAATCAAAGGGGCTCTTGTTCTGGACGCCATGTTGACTCTTAAATCGTGTGCCCTACATACCTAAAAGGGTCAACGTATCGAATAATGGTTAGCGAATGACAAAACTAACAGTTCATTCAACAAAATAGTAGCCTGCGAAACTACACTCCTAAATCCGTACCGAATTGTTATGTGCTTTGGGCGTGTGCATGTACCCATACGTACCGTACATACTTGGACCCTCCAGAACTCAAATGTCAAAATGGGGTTACATTACGGCCAAATGTATATACTACACTATGTGAAGACATGGACCCTTAGGGATTGACATGTGAAGCAAGATGGCCAGTCATACCACTGCACCCTAGAGTAGAAGCACAAAAGTTGGAAACCCAATAGCCTCAATCCTTAAGAGTAATTTATAGGGATTTCCAGTACTAGTTGACCTTAGTCCGGTGTTCAACTTTATGGGGTTGACTGTAAATTCGGCACAGCACAGCGCAGGGTTTAGGGGTTTAGGGTTTATAGGGTTTCCATCTCAAATCCCAGCCTGTAAACGGCAATCTTGCGCATTACAATTCCAAAACCCGGAATTGACAGCTGAGTGTGCTTGCAGCCCCGAACCTGCAAACGCACTACTTACAACCTCCCTGAGCCAAAGCTACAAAACCTTGACCCGAACCCGCAATTTGTCTCCTGAAACGATAGTGTGTTGAGGCAAGCGCGACTAGCGTCAGCTCCGATCGCCGCCAGCAGGCTCAACGAAGGTTTCAGGTTCTGAGGGCTCACCGTACGATGTCAATGTCACATCACATCCTCCCAGGATTTTTGATGCAAACTTGAGTTATCCTTATCCCAACTGCCTGATTACTGGATGCTTTGAACCTTGAGGGTTCTAGATTGGCTTGGATTTCGCTGTGACAGGTAAGGTTGTGCCCGTAAGACTCCATGAACCCATATAGTACATAATATACTTAGGCCTTAAAGGGGTACATTTTTCGGAACAGGACAATGTATGTACTACTTGGGTACGCGAGCCTGCGGGTGAGTCCAGAGACCAAAATGTAAGTGTCTCTGGACCCGAATCGCACAGGGATTTTCAGAAGCCAACCAAGTAAAACTGCAATGTTCCCTAAGAGTCCATGTGCCCAAATTGTCGATGCTTTGACCGTAAAGCACCTGCATAGGGATTTCTGTAAGGCCAAACTACATAGTTCTGAGGCTTTGCACCGATGGAAAGGGGATGTTCTCTCAGTTTGCAGATCATTGGCAGGACTGCCACATCCCAGGAAGTGCAGGCTGTCAGTGGCTTTAAAGTGAGGACCCAAGACCCCGAACAGAAACCATTTAGCCCATCGGGGACTGCGGTAGAATTCAGAAACTTCCAAACCACCGCTCTGAACCGACCTTTATCGGATCCCTTCGAAGGCCTGACCTAAGCCCACAGTCACAACCCCTGATCTAGAGCCACGCCCTCAGGATCCATGTCTCCAACGGTTGATGATATAAATCCTGCATTACCTTAAGGACCCTAAACTATGGGAATTATGGTATATTCCTTATTATGGGTCATGCAGGATTTATATCGTCAACCGAAGTATGGTATACAGTCTGTCCTCAAAGTACTCCCTATCTGGGGTACTTCCGGGCTAAAGTGTTTACAATTTGGCTACATTGACCCTTAGGAATACACTGATACTGCTGATGGACAAAATCCTGCATGACCCTAAGGACTCTAAACTATGGGAACTATGGTATATTCCTTATAATGGGTAATGCAGGATTTTGTCCATCAACAATACGTCGGGGCATCTTGGAGGTGGCGTGCGATGCGGATGCCCTTTGCTACAGCTCGGAGATGATCAAGTGGACTGGACTCCTGCCTAAAAGGAACCCTAACCCCAACCCTAAGCGTCCAACTACCTAATAATCATGTACTCTCCCAAATGTAAAACTACATAATTACTAGGACCCTTAGGGTAGTGGCCCATGTACCATAGAGTAGATTGATTGACCCCGAAGTGCGTACCTTTATCTGGACTACTTCAAGGCCAGATCATATGATATTTGGGTATGTGGACCCTGGCGGCTTTGGTGGTTTGGGTTAAGGATGCCGCCCTAGGGTCCAAAGGACCCATAATTAGGTACTTAGGTTTCGGAGAGTAGTTATGTAGGTTACCAGTACTATCTGGGAGAGTAGATGATTATTAGGTACTTGGACCCATAGGTTTAGGGCTGAGGGACTAGGTGGTATAATTGTAACCTAGTTAAGTTACCAGAGTAAGGAACGCGAGGCGTTGTTTGCTGTATGACCTTCAAGGTATAAACCATCGTACTTACATAACATATAAATGTAACTTGTGATACTATATATATATATGTATGGAAATGAGTGCCATCTTGAGGCTTCGAAAGCTTTTGCAAAGCCCTTCCAAGGCTTATCTGCATCCCTATAAACCCTATTATTATATACTCCAGTCCCAAACCCTAAACCCTAATCCCTTCAATTATACTAGTCCTTCGACTCCCAGGGAGAACGCAGTAAGGCACAATTAATTGAGCACAAGGGTTTCATGCAGCAGCTCTTGAAGGACGTTGCTGACTTGATGGTTCTTAGAAGTAGGGCCTTAGAAGGGTGCAGGATTTAGGGGGGTTTTCATTCGGGGTCTGCGCAGGCCATCTGGGTGTTGGTAATATAATTAGGAGCGAAGGCCATCTAGGTGTTGGTAATATAGGACCGAAAGGGGGTGATCACAATTAGTCAGGAGGAGCCAGAACCATGTGCCAGTGCTGAATCGTGAACTTTGCTACGCAATTACCGACGGATCTTCTGCATTTCAGGACTTGGGAACCAGCCCTCAGCCCTGAATACACAGTCATATCGGCTTTGGGCAACTGTATTTGAGGTTTAGGGTTTTTGAGGTCCCATGTATACTCACCTTGTTTTGCTTTCGCGCCCTTCTTGAGAGTTACCACTACCGCTGGAACTGGAACTCCCGCGTGTTTGTTGACCCGAATCCCTGGAACTTGTCACTGATCGAGGTCCGGACATTACTGATGCTTCTCGCAACTCGATCATGCCGGAGAGTGCCAGCATGAGGATGATGTTCAGGGTGAACTTGCAGTCTCGATTCTTCGTAGGTTTGCGAATTGAGAACTCTTCCTTTGTTTTTGTGGTCGGACGGTGCTAACAAGTCTTCGACGTCCCAAATCAGATTCTTGGCAAGTGCATCTCGCTTCACTCTACTGGCAAGAGAGTCTCTCCAAGTATCATATAGAGCTTCAAACAAGAACTGGATACGCCAACTTCATACATTTTACTGAGCCCAATTTCCCGGAAGCTGAACTGCTGAATTGGTTGCTCGACATGCAGAACACACTTGACAGTCTGGTCGCCTCCGGAGGACCGAGCATGTATTGATCTTTTGCAGGACCGAGCATGTATTGATCTTTTGCATTATGCGGTTGCCAATCATGGCCAATCCAACTGACGTGAGGTTTGAGTTTGTCGGGAATAGAACTGCAAGTCCCGGTGGCACCGTGCACTTGGACCACACAGCTGCGGTGGCAAGACAGTCGTCCGTGCCACAGTGCTATTGTAACATTGCATGTCCGCGTCACTAACATACATCATGTTGCCTTTTCTGCAGCATCCGAAGGCCGCAGCATCTAGGATGAGTCGGCTATTCTGATGCTGTCGTACCAAACCCCGTCTTGTTCACTCTGATGACGGTGCCGATATTGACTCGCCATTTTAGCTCGTGCTTGCGGACGCCACCGTACCGGCATACCTTTTTTACATAGGTCCGTAGGGTTTGCACTCGACAGCGGAAGGTTTACTCGCGAATGCAGCAGGCGCTTGTATTCAATCGGGAAGCATGTTCACGGTTCATGTTCATAAGGACTGAGGCTCCAAAACCTTCCGTGCCGAGTTCTTCAACATGTGCTGCCGCTTTCGCACTCCATGTGCACAGTGACGTCGTAATTTTTGCGAGCCTCCAAGCAGTAGGTTTCCACGTTAGACCGGAAGCACTATGCCGGCGGTTGCGGATAGCCGACGATACCATGGCATATGTATCGCGTGTGTTCGAGTCTGGGTTGAGCGAAGCATATAGTGGCCATAGGATGACTACAACAGTGGTTGACGAATTCATTAGTAACATCGGGTCTGAGGCTGTAGGTTTTGGTTTCCAGGTTCCCGAAGGATTTGTGGTGTTATTTCGTAAAAACTGTAGCAGCATCTTTTTTGTTTCACGGGTGGCGGATGCTGCATGGGTTCGAAAGGTGTTGCCAAGTTTGATTCCAGATATTATAGTTTCTAGGCCTTTGTCTGGGTTTGTTTGGTTGAGGTGATGTGTCCACATGATACGTGTCGTAGTGTTTTGAACCCGGAATCTCCAGCCTTGGGGGTATAGGATATCGGGCGCATTCGGCTCAGGGTGTAGGACACGTCAGGCGCCAGGGCATAAACAAGCATGTTGTCGAAAACTGCTTCGGATTGATGGATTTTTGGCCGGCGCCAAACTAAACATCTCACATTTTCTGTGTGCAAAACCATCGTCCGCAACATTTTTTGTTCGCCAGTACACAACCGTACACACGAGTTTTTTCCTGTAATAAAGATTCAGCACGAAGGCCGCGGATCCTTAACTTCCTGCCCGAACCGAACCGACTACCAACTCCGTAAGTAATGCACCCAAAACACATATATACAAGGTTTCCTACATCGTTGATTTCACCTTTTAGAACTATTCAGAAGATTTTCGTGTCCTGCGGGGTGTCGGGCTCGCTGGCTCCTGTTCGACCGGGTGGCTCTCCCAGTGGCAGCCCCGGCGCATGTCGAGGACATCTATAGAAGATGGTGTCGTCCAGACGACATGTGTACAGTCGGCTTTTGGTTGGAAACTGTATAAGTTTTACATCTAATGAATGTAACGCCGTATGCACTGAACCGCAGGTTTGCTTAACCACCGAGAGATTGTTTACGGCCATGCATGCAAGTGGGGTTCCAGTTGCCAAACCCCAAGCCCCATACGCCCTGCACAAAAGGATCCAACTTCTCGGGAACAGACGACATCCTAGAAATAGAACCCAGTGAACCGATGTTGGGTTTTTTTTTGGCATATATGGGCCCCGAGAACCTTCGAAATCCGACAGCGCAAACCGGACTTCCGCTAATCGCACACGACCTCAACTGCAGGTATTGCGATGGCCGCTTGTGTCGGTGCCAAGCCGGATGCTATGATCAACCTGAACACAGGCATGATCAGTTCCGCGGAAGAATTCATTCAAGACTTAAGGTTTGGATGGCCCAAAACCTCGAATTGATGGTAAACCTTGAACCCCAATCTCCTGGGTGAAGAGGATTAGGCATATGCTGTAGAACAGAGTGTTCTGCGATCGTCTTGTCATTGCTGCGGGTGCCAATCGAAGTTGCGCCCTCGCCCCCCAAAATGTAGGACACAATTACAATGCACAGGTTGTTAACGGCAGACGATCAACAACAAGTTGTTCTAAGTGGCTACTGTTCAGTTGATGGCAAAGCTAGCGCTTTTGGAACAACGAAAACATAGCTCTGGACCATGTTTCAGTATGTATGTACATGTATGTTTGTATGTATGTATGTACTTATGTATGTACGCATGGATGTATGTATGTATGTATATGTGTAACATGTAATTATGTATGTGCGTGTGTGTGTGTATATAGATGTGCGAATGTACGTAGGCGTATGTGTTGCCGCATTTGTAGCTCTGCTGAGAGGCTTTAAAAGCACGGAGACCCAAAACAACGAGTGAGTTTCGTGTATTTGAGGTCTGGCCAGCCGTTTCCGGCTGCCGCTTTGGATGTGGTGCCTTCTTCTCAGATATGGGTCGTGCATCCTTTCCTGGAGTACCAAATGAGGCATGCAAAACGTAGATGCCTGAACAATTGTCACTACTATTCCTTGGGGTTGCGTGTTACACGAGATATTCTTGTTTTAATTCTAGTTGGCCCTAATACCTTAATCTATTTGTTACGGACCCACACTAATTGGATGCTGAACCCAGCCCTGCAGAAAAAAAACTGTGCATTGCCGAGTGGGTATCGTGTCAAGACTCTCAGCAAGCGAAGCTGATGTGGCTGTAATAAAGGGTCTTTGATGTTTTAGGGGCTCCTTATTAGTATAATTAGTATAATATGACACGACCCAAACCCTATTCTAACTATTCTGGCATTAAGGCTCCTATATTCTTGTGGCTTCGTGGTCTGCCCCAATGCCTTTACAATTGTTAAGACCCCTTATGGTAAACATACCAAGCAGGGCAAGAGTTTCTCCGTCTTTCCTTATTTCAGAGATCACATTATCCTCGAACAACCTACCTTTTTTTGAGGGCCTATAAACGGAAATCATAATAAGGAGTCCAAAAAGTGAAAGTTTTTCAGGATCTAGGCAGGTAGCGCCTACGAGTGCCGGGTGCCCTCAACAACACACCCGTTCAGGGCTTTGGGATGGTGTGATTACCCGGGAAGGCCCGGATTCAGCTGATAGGTGTACGAACCTCATTAGACCCAGTATTCCTTAGGGTTCCTATTAAGTTAAAGTATAGTATGCCACCAGAACGTTGTTTTGGTTATTGAGGCCTCTACTCTCTACGTTATTGAACCCTTATGCTACCCATTGCCAACCCTTATAGTAAAGCCTTATGCAACCTACAGACCCAGCTCTAATTATTCACACCACTATGTTAGGATGTATATAGGATGCATGCACAACTTCATGTGGTACTCGAGTGCTTGTGAAGTCACGGAGTTCCTCTGTCGTACATGGTCGTAGGGTTGAGGGTTTACGGCCAATGATAACTTCTGTCTGCAATGGTTTGTGTGAGGGGACTACAGGTTCTCGATAGGGATTTAGAAGGGTTTCACAGAGGTGTCTGTAGGGTTTTGAGTTTTGGAGAGGTTGAACAAATAGCTTTTTCCATGAATCGAGACTAGAATGAGATACGGCCCAAACCCTGCATCCGCAACTCCCACGCCTCAGACCCTAAACTCTACAACCACAGGACCGTAAAATCCTAGACCGGCAACCCTTGAACCTTAAAGCCCAAATGCATAGGTCCTAAACCCCTACATAAACCCTAAACCCGTAGCCCCTGAACCCCTCAAACCCTAAACACTTAGCTCTAAAGCCTAAAACCATATCTGGAACTCTTGTGCCGTGGGACTGCCTCCATGCCTGGCTGAAATGTGCAGGGGCAAGGGCCAGGATTTTCAAGCTCCGGCGTTCCCCAGAAGGGTTTGGTATTTAGGCTGTACCCTAAGGCTCCCAAAGGGTTCATGGGCTCTCTGGGGGAGGGTTTGCGCTTGGGGGGCCTAAGGTTTGGGATCTCACTGCGAGGGTCCAGGAGCCTGAGGGTAAGATTTTGGGATGTAGGGCATGGGATCTCGGCAGGTGTACATAATAGGTGCATTTTCGGATTTAGGGTCTAGGGTGTCGTGTAAAGGGTGGGTCCTGAAAGGACTACCTTTTCGAACGATAAGAATAAGGGAGTTTGCGAAACCAGTGTTAGTACATGTTAGTACCCTAGATAGTATAGGATTATAAGGACCCCACAACAAAGTCCTAACTTTCGGAAATTCCCATAAGACTCATGAATCAATTTCTCGCGGATGCTGGGGAACCTGATTGCGCTGTCGGGCCTCTACGAGACATGTTTCTGATTTGCCCAGATCTTCCAAAATCCCTCAAGGAACATATAATATATACCTGAAAGTCTAGTGGGGTTCCCAATATGATTCACGGTATAGTCTTTAACTACGGAATATCTGGGTGATTCTGACTTTCTTACCGCACCCGGCGATGACCTCCTGTCAGCGGGCATGGTACAATACATCTCAGGTGTTGCTCAGTTGATGTTAGGTAGTCGTGTTTGTTTGCCGAAGCTTTTCGTCAGTTCTTGTTAGATTTGCTACGGCCCATATGGTCGGTGGTGCTATCCACCACTGAAAGGTGTTGCACGGCTTCTGCTCGTAGCTCTGCCCTGTCTGGCTCAAACTTAACCATGCCATAGCTCGAAGCAGCCATGGAAGTCTGTCGCGTAGCGGTGCCTCAATTCGTGTGGCTAGCGATGGCTTCCACACGACTGTACAACCTTATCTCCGGTAGCTCTTGGTGTCGGCCCAACCCACCTCTTGCTTTCGGCATTCCAGACACTCGAAAGTCGCACTTTGTCCTAGTTTCTGTTCTAGAGGTTCCAACTCACAAAAGTATGATATCCCACAAGAGGCTAGTACATGCTAGGGTCTAGATCCATTCAATGCGACAGCACGTTGAAGCCGATGAGAGATGACAAAAGCACCAAAGCTGGCAGCAAGGTGGGGGGTTGGATTAGCGGACAGGCATTTCCCTCAAAGAGGGAAAAGGCTGTGCTTCGTGCCAAAATTAGTACGTTTTTCTCGCTGCAGAGGCTCTTGTCCTTCCTTGCCGTAATCTGGGATTTGGAGTGCCAGACATTAATACTATTTGGGGACTTGCTACTTAAGCAAGGAACCACTGTGAACAAAGTCTGTACTTGTAACTCCCTAGTTCCTACAAAGCCCAGTAATCGTAAAAGCTAGCATGGCAAAATAGGGCGCCCAAACTCGGCTCGATGTCATCGTCTCTCTGAGAACTTGAAGTAGCAGCCGTGGCAATTCAAGTGGCATGTTTGATATCCTCGTTGTTGTTTTGGTTCGTGCCGAAACTGCTAAGTCGTAGTGGATGTTGTGCCAACTGCCGCCCTATGTATCTGTAGTTGTCTATACCTTTAAATGTTTCATTTCCCTACAGTAGAAACCAAAAGTTGGAAACCCAATAGCTTCAGTCCCTAACCAGCACTAATTGTCCTCAATCCGGTTTCCAATTATTTGGGGTCCACTATATATTGTAGCGGCAAGCCCTACGCAGCCGGAGTCTCTGAAAGCAGCCTGGCCGGCCGCCTTAGGCCAGCGAAAGCTCTGCCCCAAAGACGGGATGGGGGTACCCAGAGATCCCTATACCCCCTTAATTAAGGAATATACCTTAAGCCATAATACTAAGGCCCCCTATAATTTAAGGTATATTCCCTAATTATGGGATATTGGGATCTCTGGGTAGTTTTCAATGTCAGGTTCCTCCTTGGGTGCCCTACTACATGTCACGAGCCGCACAAGTTTGCGACCCACCGGAGTTCCTGCATTGAAGAGCACCCTGGTGGTTTAAATGTGATTGCACGGAAACAGAGCGTCCGTGTTCTACCCGCTACTCTACCATGTACACTACTTCTGCCGAGAGTCCATGAGACTTTCCCGACTATTACTAGACACCCCAAACCATCCCAAACCCTAAACCGTCAGCCCTAAACGCAACCCTACCAGTGACAAGGGTCGATTTCGTTCAGGGATGTCAAAGCCTCGGAGGCATGGCCTCTTCCGAGTTTGTAGGCCACGGTTTTGGGTTTAGGGGAGTTTCCGAAAATACGGGACGCTAATGTAGTACCCTAAACAGTAGGATCTTTATTAGAAGGACCCCAAAACAAGGTACCCTTAATTTTCGGAATCTCACATATTTAGTGGTACTACGTGTTTATAGGAGGACGGAAGCTCGAATCTGGGTTTAGGGTTTAGGGCTTAGGGTTATTAAGGCCACTATATCACAGGGATGAAGTGCTTCAGGTTTAAGGAATTCGACGCCTTCGGGTGCCAGGATGTTGTCCCACCCTGAGCTCGAGGCGAGAAGGTTGGCACTACGGCTGATGATATAAATCCAGCACTACCCATGTTAATCATTAGGGTACTTATACCCCTACTTACAACCTACTTACTAAGTCCCCTGCCCCTCCAAGTGCAGCAACTCACCCTCACGAATGGCAGTTGAAGAGCCTGCTTCAAGAGCAAGATGGAAGATCAAGGCTTCTGCGCAGCCTGCATTGAACGCATATGGCTGGTTGTCAAAACTAAGGTCCCTTTTTGGGGTACCCAGTTTCTCGGTACCGTATTATAGTAGGGACCCTAAAAGGGACCACAAATTTGACAACGACCCATATGAAGTTTAGAACTTGAAGGCGGCGAAGGACAGGCAAGTATCCACATCTTAGCGCCTTAGTAGCAACCCACCCTTGTATAATCCCGAAGGTTATAACCTAGAGGCTCCATATATAGTACCATTATGGAACTAGGAAACCCTGATGGAGATGTTCTTTTGGGGCCTAATTCCATAATGGTAGAGACTCTAGGTAACCTTTAGTTGCCCTAGGATACTGGGCACGTAAGACATTGAGCCAGATCTCGGGGAAAGCTCCTGCTTCCCTACCAACTTCCTCAATCTTCTCCGGGCTTTTGCAGAACATACCAAAAGGCTTGATCATTGTCATTTAGGGATGCTGGCAGTTGTCCACGAAACCCTAAACCCCTAAACCCTAAACCAAAAACTCTACCCCCTAAACTTCCCTAAACCCCAAACCCCTAAACCGTAAACCCCTCAGGTTGTGGCAGTTGCAAATTCCCTGTTTAGGGTTTTAGGGTTTAGTGCTTTTGGTTTTTTAGGGTTTAGGCTTAGGTTTTAGTAAATGTAAACTAAAGGGCTTGGGGTTTAGGGTATATATTCCCTGTTCAAGAATGGCAATTTACTTCAATATTGTAGGGCCAACTATCAACGATATTAGTATTGTAGGGCCTACTATCAACGATATTAGGTGCCGGATTTTATTAAGGACCCAAAAAGGGACCCTAATTTTGACAACCACTCATATAATATACTCGTAGAGATTCCACTTGCTACTTTCCTTTTTTCGCACCATGAATGTACATTTAAATCTTTGTACATACATATACGCACAGTTGAAAACATACGTAAATTAAAAACAAATTTAAAACTTATGAGCCTATGTCTATATCTATGTCT